GCCACTCTTTGTACATTTTTTTTTTGTCACCCTGCTGGCCTTGTTCGCATTCCTTTGTAATACCCGGGGTTCTGTCCCAAATTCTCTAACCTCCTTGGGATAGGCAGACGGCAGCCAATCAATCAATGTAAAATCTTTGCAAATTTTTTAAAGGCCTATGTTGTTTTTTTTTTCCTTATATATTTATGTTAAAGTCATGTCTTGTGACATGAAAGCCAATTGAAAAACTGCTAGGTAAACGACAGGCCACCCCCAGGAGCAAGGAAAAACGATTTGGGCCAAGTGCAAAAACATAAACAAAGGAAGCCAAGACAACAATCGGCTACAACCATTTCCATGCTAAACAACGAACCGAAAATTACATTTCCTTCCTGTTTCCGGCATCACGTAGCCGCAGTGTTGTCGCCAAGACCGTATCGCCCGTAGCTGTGTGGCTAAGTGTCTGGAGAAGTTCGGTCAAGTTGCCAACATCCGGTGGGAAGACTAGAGTCAAGATGCTTTTAAATTGGAGAGGAAAACATTAATACGCCTCATTATCTCGTATTTGTGGCCATTATAGTTTAGTTTAAGATCTCTCAAGGCCTTTTTGTATATATTTTTTGTAAAATAATTTCCATAAAGACCTGCACTTCTTATGCCACAGAACCCAAAGCAAAAAGTGTCTACATTTTGAGCTATGTATTAAATATAGAAACCACATTTTTTTGTATAGGAAAAAGTTCCATCTCATATGCCAAAAGTAAACACGAGTCAAGCAAATTCATGACTTCGAACAAATACACAAGTTAATTCTCTTGACAAAATGCGATAATGCCTGTGCAAATTGTTTGCTCTAGAGGACGCACCTAAGTTTATCTCAACTTTTGCTCCTCATCATGCAAGTTTTGGTCCTCGCCCACCAATGAATGAATGCTTTACTTGCAAAGTGGCAAATCAGTAGACAGAAAACCGGGCGCAAAAAAAAAAAAATTTAATCAACATGACTTTGTCGTTTTGGTGTGCTGCCGGTTCGATACTCTGACCATTCGGCGAATACCGTTCAAGCCGGTGTCCTGCACATAAAATAGCAAAAATAAACCATGAACGTGGGTGAATTCCTGAGAGGCGTATCCAAAGGCGTCAGCTGCTCCAGTATTCAGTTTAATTGGGTTCAGAGTAAACAAATTCTGCTTCACATGGTATAACCGTCACATACAGGGTTTTCCCCTTTTCAGAGAACTTTTTTAAAGTCAAAGGAATACATTTTTTTAGAGCTTACTTACCTTTTTTATACGAAGCCATGAATGTTTATATTTATAGTTTTATTTAACAGTTTTTCTGGTCTAAGCAAATACTGAAAGGATGCAATTTGTATGTCGCTTTGCTTTGATAACCAAAATAATTATATATTAATTTCAGAATTTTTGGGAAACCGAATTTAGTGTAAATTTAGCCAAATTTTGGACTGTACCTTAGTGTTTTAACACCCCAAATATTTTCTGTAGTATCCCCGTTTTAATAAATTTAAGGATTATTTAATATTTCTACCAACAGCTTGAAGAACTATCAAAAAATCCTGTTTAATTTAAAACAGCAAAATTTATAAAATATTAAATAAAAACTGAAATTTAAGCAAAATATTGTACATAATTCTATGTGGCCACTTTCGACAGCCTATTTTCCCTAACGTTGTCCAATTTAATTTCATTAGTTAGAAACATTTAGCCCGCAAAAAACTAACCACATGGCATAAACAAAAAAAAAACCAAGAAAAACGGCTACCAACAGGACGTATGATTAACGCCCAAAAGCCACAAAGTAGGCAGCACAAAACCCACAAAATGTCAGGGCGGTAACAACAGCGGCAAAGTCTCATCAAATATGTTGATAAAACACAAAAGATTACATCCAGCCAGGGCCTGGGAAAAAGGGTCGCAGGAGCTGGAGGCCAGCCAGACCACGGCCGAGGCCAGGACCAAGCATCTAATGTGTTTGTCAAAACGTTTTAATGCCCCTGCCGGGAGCTGGGGTCCCATAAAGCCAGCTAGATAGCCCCGGCTGAGTAACCTTTTTGGGCTCTACAGTGAACGGCATAGGGCTGGGGAACAAGGGACAGGCTGACCAACCATAGATGACCTTTTTCGCACAACGAAATAAAAATTGTTAAATAAAAGGCGAATAAAATTTGTGTGTCACACAAATAAGAGTGAAAAAGAGCCTCATCAAAGTCTCGACATGGGCACAAAAACAACCTGTTGTGTGTGTGCGTGTGTGTAAATTGGTTTGTGTGCGAGTCTGGCAGCTTGGGGGCGTTAAATGTATTAGTTGGGCTATGCCCCAAAGGCTATTTAAACGTCGTCAATGTGTTTTTCACGCATCGCTTCAGAAGCGGTCTGGCGAAGAATAACACTAGCCAGCAAAAGAAGCAAATATAAATTCCATAGAATATGAGTAAATATATTTCTACATATATATTAAGAAATTGTAATTATAATTTGATTTTTTATTAGGTTTCTATTATGGTAACAAGCCTTAAATGGTTAAATGATTTTAAGGTACTCTAAAATTCTTAAATTAGGGTTGTTTGTTAGGCTTTAGGCTTTGTTTAGGTCCTTTTTTGATTCAAAATCGAATTGCACTTCTTTGGCTGATCAATTTCTCATAAGACCCATGGCGAATTCACCCTAAAATTTGTCGTGCAATATATGTTATCCTTTTCTTCTCAGTAAAAAAATATTGCTTGTTACATAGTGCCCTCAAATGAATGGCTCGATGAGGCATTTATCAGGCCACTCGATGCTCAACGCCGTGTTAATGGGATTGCTTATTATGTGTCAATCAAGAATTTTATCCAACACCCTCCGAGAATATTCGCGGCGTCACGTAAAAATTATTGCTTGACACATTGTTTTTTAAAGCCTATTTAAGTGTGATCTGCCCTGCAATAGGCTCAGACAAACCCACATTCGTACATAAATAGCATCATTATCTGGGAAATATCGCACAACTCATTCGTCATTCGTCAAAAGCCAACAACGAGAAGACGCCGTCGGAGAACGATGATAAATCACTTTCAATTTTGACAAACGTCCCAAATGTCGCGCAGTCTAGGGGCACATTTCATCGCTCAAACACCCACTCGCAGACACACACACACACACACAGCCAGATACGGATACCAAATTTCCATATTGAGTGCTTGGCCCCGGACTGGACTCTGCCAGGCAATTGGCCAGCGCTTCCGCCAGCAAATCACTCTGGACCGACATTTCCGAGATATCATTGACCGAAACGAGCGGCAGGAAAAAAGAAGAAAGCGAAAGTCAATTCGATTAAGGTTTGAGCAGACATTAGGAAAGATGGATAGATGAGAGCTGAATAAATGGTAAATCATAAAATGATGGCCTGGGTATTTAGGCAGTAAAATGAATAACTATTTGGAAACGAATAGAAAATTTATGACAGTTTGAAAAGCAGTTAAACAAGTATTAAATGCTTCATTTAGAAAAATGTTCTAATATAGATTTTGCTTCTCTTTTTCCTTTGCCATAAAACAAGCTATAGTTCAGTATCTGACAAAGTTTCTTTACAAATTACTTTGCGTACTTTGTTTTAAGAATTAAAACCCACTGCTCTGGCCTTGCATATTTATTTAAAATGATTAATTGAAGACCTAAAATAATTGACTTCGAAGGCTCTGCTATTACCCTTCATGGCGGCATCATTTCGTGGAACGTGTCACTGCTTTAACTACAATTCAATTTCCGGCTCCGGCTGCTGACATCACGTATACGCAGGCTATCACGTATACAGCGCGTTGCATCGCCACCCAGCCAGATCCTAACAAAATATTTCGCCAGCACTTAACGCCCCAAGGATGAAGCCGATGCTGTTGCAAAGGCTTAACTTTCAACTTCCGCTTGCAGCGGCATGAAGAATGCCAAAGAAAAGTTGAAATTTCAACCCCTTTTGGGGGGGTAAGTGTCTGCCTCTGTTGTAGACTGCAGTGCATAATATACTGTTCTCATTTCTGGCCATTGTTCAGGCCCTACTTGTCATAAGAACTCCACTCGAAGGGCTCTTTACTTTGCCTTCGGTGCACCGCCCCGAAGGTAAGCAATCCATCAGCATCCAGCTAGTTCATCTGGCCCCGCTCTTCCCCTTCCCTGTACTCAAATCCTCCAGTCTTATTTTTTCCTTTTCCCCTGGTACTCTCTTATAAATAATTCAATTGCCATTTTACTCGCCTTATTCTCCTTGTTGTAAAATGAACATATGACTTGCGAAATGAATTCCAATGAGCACCCTCACATGGTGTGAAATGCATGAGTGTGTGTTTTTACCCCGGGGACTCCATTGTCTAGTCCACGTCTATGTTGCGGGGATATACAAATAGCGTTCCTATTGATTACCTGATGCCACGACAATTTAATTTTTAATAATAATGGGAAATCCTTTGCCATCGGCCATTAGGCAAGCCATTAGCCCATGACATCATTTTGTGAAATATATAAATTTGTATAAAAACGGTTGCAACTAATGGTGGCAGGGTCGCAGCTGTTTGGTTTTCTGCTCTCTAACCTTTCGGTAGCTTTAACAATTTGCAAAAATATGGCAAAAAAAATGTATTAAAAGAGTTCGAATATGCCACCCCTTTCAGGTGCAGTCATGAATAATTTTCTTTCAGAAAATGCTCTGCAGTGGACAAAATATATTTCCCAATATCAATACCAGTACTAGAGATGCTAGAAAATATAGATATATCGATGCTGTCTCGATGTTTTTAGCAAAATATATTTTAATTTCTTTTTTAAATATATGTGAAATAGATTTAAATAAAGATTCGATATTTTTGAATACACAAAGAGTCAATAAATTGATTTATTGTGTTATTTTTATTTATATAATAACAGACTTTTCCCTTTATAAACATAAGGACATCCCTACTATGAAACCCCAAGAGTTTCTTTGTGTATATCTTACGATTTCTAATATATTATTGATTTTCATTTTATTTGCAGTTTGTCATCAACGCAAAGGGCAAAGGAAAAATAAGAGGAAATGTTTTATTTGAAGCCCCGACTAAGTCAAGGCTGCGCCTTAGCCCTCGTCTGTATGGCGAACCTCCTGATGTACCATCCCACCCAGGCCGAGACGCCCCCAGCTCAAGGTGACCACCCCCCTGCGGGCAGCATCCGGGTGACAACCAACCAATAATGACTTCTTTGCAGGCACTCCCCTGAGCAATCTGTATGACAATCTGCTGCAGCGCGAGTACGCCGGACCCGTCGTCTTCCCTAACCACCAGGTGGAGCGGAAGGCTCAGCGGTCTCCCTCGCTGCGCCTCCGCTTTGGACGCAGCGATCCGGAAATGCTGAACAACATAGTGGAGAAACGCTGGTTCGGCGATGTCAACCAGAAACCGATACGGTCTCCCTCCCTGCGGCTGCGGTTCGGCAGGCGGGATCCCAGCTTGCCGCAAATGCGACGGACCGCCTACGATGATCTGTTGGAGCGGGAGCTCACCCTTAACAGCCAGCAGCAGCCGCTGGGCTCGGAGGGGGATCTGGATCTGGCCGAAGACTATGACAGTGCTTTTGAACGCGTGGTCCGCAAGCCTCAGCGTCTTCGGTGGGGCCGCAGCGTTCCGCAATATGAGGCAGCCAATGAAGACAACGACCAGGTGAGGGGCAACAAATGAACTCTTCAAAGTACACTCTGCTCACTTTAATTACGTAGAATTAAATCAACCAACTAGCTTCATCCATCATCCATGTTTTTCCCCAGATGGAACGCTCCCAATTATACAATTCCCTGTTGAACTCGGAGAGGATGCGTCGCATGCTTTTGTCCATGCAGCAGCAGCAGTACGAAGCCCCTGGACATGTGGCCAGATACGCCAACGAAGATGATAACGATGCGGATCTGGAGGAAGACACTTCTGAGTTCCAGCGAGAGGCAAGAAAACCTATGCGCTTGCGGTGGGGACGGAGCACTGGTAAAGCTCCAGCCGATCAGAAGAAAACTGGAGAGGAACCTTCATCGGTGACTCCAAAGACACAGGACTAAATTTGATAGATGATGGCCAGGGCAACTCCAGAAAAATGCCAACAAATGAAGGGAATCGGAAGCAAGCTACACGGTCAATGTCCCATGCCAAATATGATACGAAAAACCTTTGAACCCAAGTTATAAACAGTTTTTGAAAGCATTTTGAGGTACGCAGGGAGGCATGGGCTGAGGAATAAATACATATAAACTTATATCTTATATATACACACATACGATTAACCACAACTGTGCAAACTTTGGTTTTGAGGCAACTAGGCATATACGAAAACCAAAGCTGACATACTCACTTGTCTGTAAACTTTAACAATGCGCAGGTAAACAAGGTAAGCCCGTTATATAGACTAGGAGTCTGTAAATTAATGAGTAGATGCATCTGTTTTCGATCTGTAAATGAGTTTGAATTGATTATACGGTTTAAAGAATTTTCTATCGCCCTGTTTAAAAATATGTTTCCTGGAATACAACCAATCCTAACGTGCTCAATTATAGAAATTTCTAAATATTCGATTACCCCCAACTTTTAGACGGTATGTATATAAAAAAAAATATATATTAAACATTTTGAACATAGCGAAAATCTATTTAAAACGCTAGAAACCTATAGAAATATTATTCAAATGAAAGATGAATTTTTGATTTCTAAACTTTTAAGCAAACTTCGATTTAATGTTACGACGGAAGTGTTTGAAAAACATGTTGAAGCCCCCGAAAGCTGTATTACTGTAACACTTGTTATATTATGTGTGCTACAAATTATATATGTATATCAACTCTTATATATATTATACGACTATATACTATATACAAATACGATGAACATTGTCTATTACAATTTTATTGATGTATTTTAATAACTGAAGAAGTCAAACCAAAGCAAGCATTATGCTGAATATTGTTAGAAAACTTTTGTATATTTAATTTACACCATCATTGAAACTTTTGTTTACCGATCCATACTACACACGATATAAGGCGCTGTTCTTCAAAAGACCCATATCCCGCTGAGCGCAACTTTCGAGTAAAAATTGTCAATGCTGTTTTCTAGGTGTATATCATTATGTACGCGTATATACCTTTCAATGAATGTAATATCATGAATGTAAATAAAAGAACAGGAATATTAAAAAGCAAACATTTTACTCGATCTATGCAACAATTAAATAACTCAGATGGAGTCAAAATACACCTCTCTTTCTTCTCTCAAACCTCTTTTATAATGGAAAACGTTTTAAATGTGGTTTGTACTAGTTCTAGGAGTTTTGTTTTAATATTAGTTATTGTATGTAGCACAGTAGAGGCATTTATTTTTATTCAAAAACTTGTTTAATCTTTGGCGAATATAGGTTGCATTGCCAGTTACTGCTCTTTCTACATGCTTTTCCCCACACAGCTCACCTACTCACTAAAAGTGCCAACAATTATCAAACTTAAACTCCCACGGCGCCGGCAAGCTGTTGTACGTAATGGGATTAAGCAACAAATGTCAGAAAATTAAACCGAGACCAAACAAGATACAAAAACACCGATGAGTATGCCACCTGGAATGGGATGGAATGGGCACGGGAATTACCTCGGGCAAGGACAAACAATCAGCTGGGAGGAGGCAAGGACATTTTTGCCTTCCCAACCTGTTTTGGCCCGCTTTCGACTGTGATGACAGCCATTAACTTTAGCACCACATCCTGCAACCCGTTTGTTGTTGTTTGTTTTGATAATTAACTTTTTAACTCCTAATGTAGGGAAATGTGTGTTGACTGAAATTGTTGTGCTCCCCACATGAAGCTCATTATTCTCGATTAATTGCATGCAACATTGAGGATTCAACACGAAAATGCACTTTAGGATAATACAATTTTTGGCTGGTTACCTTAATTTGCTATAAAAAGTTATGTTCTAGTCATATTTAACACCATAGGTTTATGAAAAATTTAAAATTAAACAAAAACAACTAGAAACTTCCCAGCTTTAGTACCAATAAATAGTTGGTTTATGTTTTAATTTCATTTTAAACAAAATTCCTATGAAGTTATTATTATATTTTCATTGGTAATTTTCTAAACTCCTTATTTCTAGACTAAGCCCTCTCTAATTTAGATCAATTTAATCTTACAGGTACTGTGATTTAATAGTTTAAATCTGGCTTCGATTTTTTTTTTGTCTTCATTTTCACATATGCAAAAGTGTAAAGAGCGTAATCAGTATAAGACCAAACATTACTTAGTACTTGGTAAATATTTATGCAAATAATATGCAATTACACACACACACACATACACGCACTGGCAAGCTGCGCCTAAAAGCGCTCTGTAAACACCGAACTTTTTGAACAAGCAACAAATGTGTCATACCCACACGGAGATGCCGAGGAAACCCTCTTCAGGCAGAAACAGAAACCATTTGCGAGTAAAAACGTCTTGCGAATTTCTTCCTCATTTACCCCACTGCACACTGAAAACTTTGTATATACATTATCTATTAAATAAATATTATGCTTTATTCTATTCTATTCTAGGAAATCGGGAAGAATGAGTGCGTCGACTGGGTGATACTCGGTACTCAACATTTCCCATATTTAAAAATCATACAAGTTTAAACTATAAAAGAATAGGGAAATTTTCCCAGTGTGTCTTCTGGTATGAGTATGCAAATGAAAGAGCAACAGCCATTGCAAACAATGTTAACAAATGCTTCCGTTTCAGTCTGGGCCTCCAGCGCAACTTCTACAGTTAAAACTAATGTGAAAGTTTTCATTTACGCGGGCCTTAGACATAGCATTTGTATGTACATATGGGATATAAATGGGTTGCTCCGAACAACTAACGATTTTTTCATAATAAAAGTTGAGAAGAAATACAGAAAAATATGATTCCTATATCAATTGAAGTGTTTTCAAATTTGTGTTGAGATATCAATTTATGTATCGCAGCAGTTTCATATTTTCTACATTCTGAAATATTTCCTGAAAAAATAAGACAAAAAGAATTTGACAAAATTTTAAAATAATTGTTAAGATTCAGTATTTAATATTCATTAGAAAAATTAGAATGAAAGCAGGATTCGACTTTGATGAGGGGTTTTGTATCGGGAATACTGGTACGGGTCGGTGAGTTCAAGTTAAACATTTAAGAGATTTGTAAATAACTGGGAGTTCGACAATGATAAAATGCAAATGAAAACTATTACACTAAGCTCATGTAAACGTTATTTAGTCCAGGACTTGTCGTATTTGGAAATCCTCCAAGTTCTTCTGTGGAATAAGACGCAGCTTCATGTCGTTGGCCAAATGCAGAACCGCATAAAAGGCAACCGACGTGGACAGCGAATCTGACATTTTGGTGGTCAGCAGATTGGGCAGCTTGGAGTAGACCTCATTGAAACTAGCCATACCTTTAGAGTAGCTCTCGTCCTTTGGCACTGGATGCGAGGGTATCATCTCCTCCGGCACAACGTTTAGAAGTTGTTTCTGAATCAGCGAATTGCAGCACTTTTTCAGATTCTTCATGTCTATTACCTTGGCACGCTTCGCAAAGGGAACAATGACTTTGGTGACCTGCAAAGATAAGATAGTTTATTAAAACTATATCATAACTTAACTTATCTTTTTTAAATCATCAATTTGAGCGAAATTATTATGATAAATGATAACTTTAATGTCTGACGACTTACCTGCGTAGGCGCCCCCTCAAACTCTGTGCCAATCTCGAACACTGTGTTATTGCAGGCGTCCCTCATGCTAGCATTAAGCTGACTAGGATCCACATCCATCAATCCTTCGCCGAGACAGGCCTCGTCTCCCATAGCCGGCATAACACTCACATTGGCCGGAACTGCCGCGGTAAAGTGCTCGTTGCCCAATAGATCGGGATCATTGTCATCGCCATCGCCATGGTGCGGGCCCGCATCATCCATATCCATGCCCAGATCTTCGCCCTCGTCCGAGTCCGGTTTGCCACAGTGTCGAGACAACTTTATACTCGGCGCCGAGTCATATTTGAAGAAGTAGTCCGGATCAATGTTGAACTTTGTGGGTAGCACCAATTTGCGAGCATCCCACTTCTTCTGGAAATTTACCTTGCGCAGCTTTATACTCGCATCCAGAGTCTGAAACAAGTTTTCTGTAAACTTTCCATAGGCCACTTCCTTGGCCCTTCGCTTGGCGGCCAACTGAGCCGACTTCTTTGGCCGTTGACTAGCCGGGACTGACTGTGGGTCCGTCTGGGCATTGGTCTGGAAAAGAGTGCTACGCTGGCGCGTGCGTTTGAACTTCCAGTGCGAGGGTCCTGCCCAGAACTGGGAGATCTGCTCGGCCATCGGCCGATATGAATACTCCAGCTTGGAGGTGCCATCAACCGGCCGCAGATCCTCGATAAACTCTGCCTGCTTACGCAAACGGCGACAATTGTTGATCACCACTTGCTCTTCCGTGGTGAGCTCATCCAGCTCATTGCAGTCCACCTCAAGCACCAATGGTGGTTGCCCGTCCAAGTCCGGCATGGGTTCACACTCACCATTGATGTCGAAGGCCATGGAAAGCTCATTGGGATGGGGGCACAGATCGTCGGCGCCATCAAGATCGAAGTCGCGGTTATCTTCTTCATCCGCAACGGGATCTGTTGGTTTCTCGGTAGGAGCCCGCGGATTAGGATCACTTGTGATGATATAGCCAGTGTGGAGAGGCCGCAGAACCAATTCATCGACATCGGGCAGAAGATCTTGCACCCAATCCGCGCTCATCAGCGACTCACTGGGCCACTGCTGTGCTTCCTCACTCGCATTTGCTGTGGTGTGGTCCTTCACCTCCTCGGTTGGCTCTTCGTCGCCATCCCAGAACATATAGGTGGTGCGCAGCCTCAGCTCAGAGTCCAAACTGGGCAGGATGTTGTGCATCAGGCGGTTCGAAGCATTAATGGACCCCACAGTGGAGTTCAGCTTTCCAAACACCGGATCCTGCAGTGGCGCCGAGTCCAATCTAGCGTTCAGCGTATCCTTGTTTTTGGTCACCGTGGACACGTTCTTTTTCTGTTTCTTCGGTTTGGGAGCCGCCTCTTTTTGGACCCTCCCAGCCTCTTCATCTCTACCGCCATCCGCTTGCCCAGATTCCGGACCCTCATCCTCGGCATCCTCCAGTTGCTTGTCCGTAAGCGTGCGGGCACTCAAACCGGCCGAAATGCGCATGGCATCCATGTAGATGGAGTCCACACGCAGGCCATAGACCTTTGAAGACGCCTCCAGCGAGGACCCGGCCATCTTAGGGAGAAACGAGAGGATTAATTTCGCGGTCAGTCCAGCTTTCAGCTTCTCTTACCTTGAAGTTGCTCATCCGCTTGTGATGATGATCGAGCAGATTGGCCAGGGAGTCGATGAGCGTCAGGCTCCAGGCGTTGTCTTTGCTCAGCTTGTTGCCGTTGTAGATTTCCAGGCAGGAGCGAATGGTCTCATTGTCCTCGATAGACTCCAGCGTGCTCTGGCGCTTCTGCTGCTGCTGAATCAGTGTGCGTCGTCGGGCCTCCTGTCGCTCCGCTTCGTCATCGTTGACCATGGTCACCTCCCGGGCCATACTCTCACGGTAGCTGCCCACCGCGGACCGACGCAGCGGCGTCTCCGAGCGCGGCAGTGTCATGGCTTGCGGGCGTCAAAAGCAGAACACAAGAAAGTCAGGCACTGGCCGAAACAGGCACTTGTATGTTCAAAAGGCGATTGCTGCGTTTGTTTGAATTCCTTTCCTATTGCGTTTTGTGCGTTCCGTTTATTGCTTGTGCTGGTATTAGTAATAGTTTACAGTTTCTTTCAAACGACGCCGCAATTTAGGGCTACACAACGACTAGATGTTTTAGTGTTGGAAAACGTGACCGGGTTTAATTCAAACCCGAATCCATACGATTTTCTTCAGTTTTCACAGTATTTCTTTAAATGTAAATACCTTCTGAAGATTAGAAAATTCGTATTTTTTAAATTCCCTATCCTTTATCTAAATGTATAAAAAAATATAATAATTAATAATTTGTAAAAACATCGATAACATCTATAGTACTATCGAAGCTCTCCCAGCTCTAGACTGAGATAGCCGCGCAGATTGCATTTGTGTCCGTGTTTGTTATAGTATTGTTGTTAAAGTCAAAGTTTCTTCAAATAATCAGTTTCTAATTCTGGGAAATTTTTCTATATTCTGTATTATACTATATAATAAACTTCAATACAACGCCTACAAAGCCACTACAAAGTCTCTTGCAATCCTGGGACTGTCGGCAGCGTGCGCCTGTGAGCCTGTATTAGTGGCCCGAATAACTGGACTTTCCGAATTTGCGCAGTTTCCCCGAAACTGTTAAAGAAGCCCTTAAATTACGGGAAATCAAGCATGGCACGCGACACCCAAGGAACCCAGGGAACCCAGAGCCAGGAGTCCAGCATCTGGACCCTGGTGGAAAGCCAGCCCATGGAGAAGATCGTCTGGGGCCGGTTGTACGGCAAGAACATTAAGATCAAATCGCTGGGTACGAGCTCAAAATATCGTATAATTTATACGCCTTCGTCCTTTTCTGTTGGTAACCGAAATATGCCTGTGTTTATGTGTGTTTGCTTCCCTTCAGAGTATAACGATATTAATAAAGCTGCTTGCTTGCTTGTATATAACTTCTTTCAGATCTGAACAATGACGAGTTCTCCGCAGGACGTGGCGAGGCGAATGACTTGATCCTCACGCTGAACGATTTGTCCGAGAAAATCCTGACGCGCATTTCCAAAGTCCACTTTACTATTAAGCGGGCAAACTGTGACCTCGCCAGTCCCGTTTACATTAAGGTGAATCCTAAAAATCAACTAAAACCAAGTTATATAACCATCTCGGTATTATCTTTTACCTGTTACTATATATAAAATATAATAGGCATTATTTAAAATACAATCTTTGCTCGCATTATCCTCTTAGGACCACTCCCGAAACGGGACCTTTGTGAACAATGAAAAAATTGGGATGAACAAAATGCGCATCTTGAAAAACGACGACGTTATTTCCCTATCCCATCCCACCCACAAAGGTAAGCGATCTGCAAAAATAGGTTAGGTAAACACAGTGAATGGACCAAAGTAATGCAACGCGTTGCACCTGCCTTACAGCCTTTGTGTTCAAGGATCTCAGTCCGAACGAGTCTATTGGTCTGCCTGAGGAGATAACAAAAACGTATTATATAAATCGCAAACTGGGCTCCGGGGCCTACGGACTGGTGCGACTCGTCTACGATACTCGCACCTGCCAGCAGTTCGCGATGAAGATTGTGAAGAAGAATATGCTGTCGGGGGGTTCGCGACCCAGCACCAATTTGAGCGATCCCGAACGAGTTCTCAATGAGGCCAAGATCATGAAGAATCTATCCCATCCGTGTGTGGTTCGAATGCACGACATTGTTGACAAGCCGGATGCCGTTTATATGGTGCTAGAATTTATGCGCGGCGGCGATCTACTAAATCGAATCATAAGCAAGAAGCTGCTGACCGAGGAGACTTCAAAGCTTTACTTTTACCAAATGTGCCATGCCGTTAAGTATCTTCATGATCGCGGTAAGCGAAAATGTGTATATTTGTAGTATTTCACATTTAATCTAAACGAGATGGACTGCGTAGGTATCACCCACCGCGACCTCAAGCCGGACAATGTGCTGCTAGAAACCAACGACGAGGATACCCTCCTGAAGGTATCCGATTTTGGACTAAGCAAGTTTGTCCAGAAGGACTCTGTGATGCGGACGCTATGTGGAACTCCACTCTATGTGGCCCCGGAGGTTCTAATAACCGGCGGTAGAGAGGCCTACACCAGAAAAGTGGACATCTGGAGCTTGGGTGTGGTGCTCTTCACCTGGTAGGAGGAATTCATTTTGAATTGATATTGGAAATTAAAATCTAATGCTGATCTTTACCTTCAGTCTCAGCGGCACACTACCCTTCTCTGACGAATACGGCTCTTCGGCGGCCGAACAAATAAAGAAGGGAAAGTTTGCCTACCGACATCCGGCATGGAAGGGTGTCTCGCAGCGCGCCAAGCTTCTAATTAACCAAATGCTCATTGTGGATCCCGCAAAGCGACCCTCAATTGATGACGTTTTGCAGTGTAGCTGGCTGCGAGATGCGGCAATGCTGCAGAAAGCCAAACAGCTAATGAAAATCGAAAGCATGGATATCGAGGAGGAAAATAATTTCCTTGAGCCGCCCACCAAGCGTTCGCGGCGCTAGCATTCTACTATTACTATTCATTCCATTTGCCAACGGTTAGGTTAAGGCGCGAAAAAGTTTTAATTTTCTGGAAAAATTATTGAAAAACATTTTTCTCCGAATGCCGCCGCCGCCGCCACCGCGTATCATTCTGTTTGATGTTCCAGTATTTTTTTGCGGTTGTTTATTTTTACGTGTTGTTTAGTATAAGTCTTTCTTATGATTCCCCTCTTTGGCTATTTTATATACTTAATTTCGATCCAATCTGATCTGTTTAGAAACTAAACGAAATTGGTTTAAGGATAAATATGATTTGACTTTTCAGCGAATATATACTGAGCTTTTTGAAATAAAGCATTTGCATTTATATAAATAATCAAGTTTGTCCTTCTTGTTAATTTGATTGGGACAGAATTTATGAGGAGCTATTAGCTCCCACATCTTACATAGCTCTACTCCATGAAAACTCTCTATTAGTGAGCATATTAATGTATATTTAAGTATTTACAGTATGAATACAGTAATTTTTACAATTTGCATTCAAGATAAATATTTTATATATTTATGCATTGCTACAAAAAAATACATAAACATAAGTCAAAATTTGGTCAGTTCATACTCAAATGCAAGCAAATAATTATGGTGATCACAGGATCCCAAAATTTGGCAGTAGAATTACTTTAGGGAATGTGTCACCATCTTGCGCCCATGACCAATGGTGACCAAAGTGCTGTCATCGGTCCAAACGGCGTCCATGAGTCGCGAATGTGTGTCCTGGTGCTTGTAGATAATTTCTAGTTTTTCTCCCTGCAATTTGGCCACCTTTACTGAGGCTGGCAAATTGCTCATCGCTGCCAAATGAGGACTGGAAAAGATTGTTTAATTGTAAATGTACTACAGGTTTTCCTTACTTTGCTTACCCATTAATTAGGAGCTTCGAGACATGCCCGTTGTCAAAGTATTCCTCAGATTTAACTAGGCTTAAAGGTACACGGATATCTAGTGTATGAACTTTTCCATCATAGTCGCCGAGATAGACGTAATTGGAAGACCCAAAGGCGGCACACGTAAAGCTTATCAAGTGGGCGGCATCATCATAGAGGCACACTGAAGATGGGGCCGCTGCCCGGACATCCCAGAGACGGGCACATCCACCACGATCGCAGGTTACAAATTGGTCGGACGAGACGGTTGGTGTGGCCAGGCCGGTCAGTTTGTCAGTGTGGGAGGAGCGCGAGTGATAGGAGCTCTCCAAATCAGCTCCAGATATATCCCATATCTGGAAAGAAAATGATATTTTAAATGGTTCAACAAAAAAGTATGTTTTTATATTTTTTAAACTTACATTAAGTGTGCCATCTGCTGAAGCTGAGACGGCCTTTTGTGGATTTACATTAAACACGTTCAGATGGCTTATGGGTGTGGGATGTGCCCAGGATTCGCCAACGAGAAACAGGCAGTAGGGCGACTCTGGATTGCGGACTTTCGAGTAGGTGGACCAGGCCTGCAGGCGTGTATCGCCCAGAGCCACCAGCAGCACGTTGTTGTCCGCATAACGCACAATGTTAACCGTGTGCTGCGACTGCAGCTTGAAGTCCGCACTGTCCACAGTCATGCAGTTGGCCTTGCTGGGCCCATAGCCAAAGAACATGCCCCACCATTGGCGGCCCTCGCGGCGGTTGGTGGCCAGCGCCAAGTGCTGGTGTTCGTTGATGGAGATGCTGTCCCAACAGTCGTGCAACCGCGGCGACAGATTCTCAAGGCGGGCATTGAGATCTGCAACGTTCAGATTGGGATACTCGAGGTTCATGGCCAGCTCCAGAGCCGGTGGCGGATCGTGGGTGGCCGGCGTCTGATAGAGCACCGAACTGCGTTGCGGAAACATCTTGGGTGCAGCGAATATATCCCGGAAAACAAGAAAAAATTAAGCCCTAGTCGGAAGGAATATCCAGCGTGCCCGGCAGAGATGCGAAAATAAATCGAGGTATTATCGATATCGATATGTAAAGTGAAAACACATGTAAAAGTGGAAACCCACGTAAAATATGTAATCCAAATCAGCTGTTTTCTATTAATCGATAGGTTTCGAACCTATCGCCCAACAGCTGTGCGACGACAACAACTAAACAAAATCAGCTTTATTTGTTGTTGTGCTCACTCCGCAACGGACGTTACGCGCTAGATTTTTATTTAAATTCTCTCTTCCGCTTGCACCTCCGCAGTAGCATAAATTCCCTAGAATTCGTGTGTCGGCTGTAAAGAACTTGTGCTATATCTTATATAATTACTGAAACTAAGTCTTAAACTGCCTACTGACGGTAGCCAATTAACAAAGACACGCAAGTGCGCCTGCATTCTGCGCTATTATGCAAAGTGCAGGCCAAGCAAACACAGCAGCAAGAACAACAACATCATAGCTGGCCTCTGGTTGTGTGTAAAAAGAAGCGAAATGCAAAAGTGCCTTAGCCTTAGACCCGAGCTCGGATTGAAATAAGAACGGAGAAACCAGGCACCAGAATCTAATCAGTTTTGAAGCGTGCCATTTCGAAACTCTTTGTTTGGTTTTCCATAAGAATAAACTGGTGGCGACTGGTGCATGATGAGCGGGGTAAGAGGCGGCGGCAGCGGACTGCTGGATATTTACGCCATGGCCTGGGAGCATCTGAGACCCGGAAGCTCGCCCGTCGATTGGTGCGAGGGCAATTACTTAATTTCATCGAATATAGCCGAGTTTGTGAACACGGTGCGTATGTGCAATTTATTTTAATATATAGAAGACGTCTCTGCTTTGCTCTAGTTAGTGAGTGAGTCGTCGTCACCTGGTTGTTGTTTTAGTAGCGTAGCAGCTGCAAATTCTCTTCACGCACACACTGGCACACGGAAAGAGTGGCTGTGGCTGGGCCTTGACCTTTTTTTTTTTTTGCAGGCTATAGAGCGAGAGCCACCAACACGACCCAAAGTAAACAAAAGTGGCTGTTAGCTACGCTATGGAAGGGAAGATGGAGATGAAGATGGCGATGAAGATGAAGAGGAACTAGGGAGAGAGAAAGAGCAAGATGGGAGTAGAAAGTAGTAAAAGAGGCATTTCGAGATACTACTGGTTTCCAATCGAAGCCTAAGAATCTCCAGTCTAAGTATTTCTTGAGGATTGTGGTAACAGTTGTATTATCGAAGTAGAAGAAAACAGAACTCCTGTGTTTTATAGTTATACCGCTTATCAATAATAATTGTTATTAATATCGGATCTTTGGTTTAACTCAGATCTACATTGATAAAGTGTTTAAGCCCATGTTTTCCTAAGTATAGGTTGTTTAAACAAACACAGTGCTCTTAAAACAAATAAGAATCAAAGGTTATCAATTGCTTTAGACACTATTTATTTCACTATCAATTCAAAATTTTAATTCACTTTACTGTTTCAAGTGGCACGCATTATCATAAACTCAATCATACAATATACAGAACAAGTCTTCAACAATCAAATGACGTAGAAAGTAAAGAACAATCACCCTGGGGAATGACTTTAAAAAATAAATACTTTTTAATGGATTTTGTGTTGTTATGAGTAATGACAATTGGAGTTGCTGTTGAGCTGTTTAAAACGCATTTGGGCTTTGTTGTGGAGGGAATGAACTTCGCTCTGGACACTCGACTGTGGAATAAAGAAGCGGAACATTTGATACTATCAATGCGGGGTCTTGCAGTATATATATATTTTATGTACAAAGATATAGGTTCATAAATACAGGCCTAGCCCCATTTCGTTATCTATTGCCTCAATAGAACATGCATATGTATGTAAATGATAATCCAACACCCTTTTGAGAAATGCTGCTGCCACTTCCCGCTTTGTTTTGTCACACAAAGTAATTAATTGCTGTTAATTCAATTTGCTTAGCAATTTACGTGACAAACTGCCAATTGTCGAGGTGACACGAACAAAATGAAAAAGCATAAACCAATTATAATGCCCAGCCAGATGTACTTTTTGATTCAGGGACTATTTTTCATTATGTGAATAAATAATCAAAGAAAAAATAAGTTTGAAAGTAATATATATCTCGTTTCGTTTTACAGTTTAGTAATTTCTTGTTTATCCTACTGCCCCCCGTTCTGATGATGCTGTTCAAGGAGTACGGGCGCTTTGTTACGCCCGGAATCCATGTGATTTGGTTGCTGCTCATAGTGGTCGGCCTGAGCTCCATGTATTTCCACGCCACTCTCAGCCTTATTGGCCAACTGCTCGATGAGCTAGCCATCCTTTGGGTGTTCATGGCAGCTTTCTCCTTATTCTATCCGAAGCGCTATTATCCCAAGTTTGTAAAAAATGATCGGTAAGCGAGCTCATTGTATTGAACAATTCCTATCTAAAGAACACACATTTTTCCTATCTAAATCCGCCGACTTTCGGTTTCCTTTGTTTCCAGCAAAACCTTCAGTTGGCTCATGCTACTGTCGGCGATTGCCGCAACGGGCCTTTCATGGTGGAAGCCTATTGTAAATGCCTTTGTTCTTATGTTTTTGAGCGTGCCGACCATGTTAATGCTCTACACGGAGCTGCAGAGGTAAGTTAACCGACCCCGTCGACCTATTCAGTCTGGCAGAGAGAGTTGCCGATAAGCAGAATTAGCTACAATTTCCCTGCTTGCCGACCCAAACTGAACTAAGCCCATAAATCATAAACATTTATATGTATTTATCATCACTCATCCATATCATGAGTATTATCTTGTGTGTGCTTTTGTTTCAGAACAGGTGTACTTGGGGCTCCGCTTTTACATATATTGTGAAATTATTTTAACCATATCGCCAACTTTAATCAATTTTAGTTTTATCATACGGTTTCCAAAGATCACCCCAAAATTTATTTCCCCCTGATAGTAATATGTATGTCTGGGGAAACTCTGGCGGTGGGTTGTATCAATCAATCAAGTCAATGGGCTCACTCGGGTTTGAGTGTGTCATTTAGATAAGCCCTAAGGAACCACACTTCTAATATGCATTGCTCAAGGGCTTATGACAGATGTTGGGGTAGGAAACCACTGTGTACTGTATTGTGTCAGGGTGGAAATCCCTGTGGGATTTACGAAATGTCCAAAATGATTGTAACGATACGTCAGTCGTTATAATTTTATATACCCCTAGGAGCCACCAACTTCTATAATTATTATCAATTTTTAATCATTTTATTTTTTATTAATTTATCTTTTATAAGTCAAGCCAAAGTGATCATTTTTTGTAACATTTTAAAAATAATAGCAAGGAGTATAGCACTGTCAATATATTTACAGGACCTTAAACCAAAGATTTGTCCCTTTTTGATGTTAGTATTCCGTTTCAAAGATCTTCACAACACCTTTCCATTAAGCTATTGATTCGGCTCTATATTTATACCCTTGCAGGGTATTATAATTTCAGTCAGAAGTTTGCAACGCAGTGAAGGAGACGTTTCCGACCCTATAAAGTATATATATTCTTGATCAGCATCAACAGCCGAGTCGATCTAGCCATGTCCGTCTGTCCGTCTGTCCGTCTGTCCATCTGTCCGTCTGTCTGTTTCTACGCAAACTAGTCCCTCAGTTTTAAAGCTATCTGAATGAAACTTTGCATATAGTCTTCTATATGCTCTCACTGCTATATATGTCGGAACGGGCCGGATCGGACGACTATATCATATAGCTGCCATACAAATGTTCGATATATTTTTCGAAAAAAAATTATGACTTTGCTGTTTTTCAACATTTTTGCATTTTTGAGATATTGCCATTTTATATTATTTCTGAATTTTGGTAAAAATTTTATGAAAATCGGACGACTATATGATATAGCTGCCATAGGAACGATCAGGAAATTAATAGGAAAAAAATTATAGCTTCGTTGTTTTTCAACGTATTTTTATCTACTCTGAGATATAAGCTTTTTTTTATTATTCTAGAATTTTGGTATATATTTCATAAAAATCAGGCAACTATATCATATAGCTGCCATAGAAGCGATCGGTAAATGCATAAAATATGTAAAGCTGGGAATGTAAAACTGTAACTGTCAAACTGTAAGCATAATAAGTATAGGTAAAATGGAATAAAACTCTATAATATAAACATCAAAACCAATCTGCAAGGGTATACAAACTTCGGCGTGCCGAAGTTAGCTTCCTTTCTTGTTTTTATACCCTTGCAGGGTATTATAATTTCAGTCAGAAGTTTGCAACGCAGTGAAGGAGACGTTTCCGACCCTATAAAGTATATATATTCTTGATCAGCATCAACAGCCGAGTCGATCTAGCCATGTCCGTCTGTCCGTCTGTCCATCTGTCCGTCTGTCCGTCTGTCCGTCTGTCTGTTTCTACGCAAACTAGTCCCTCAGTTTTAACGCTATCTGAATGAAACTTTGCATATAGTCTTCTATATGCTCTCACTGCTATATATGTCGGAACGGGCCGGATCGGACGACTATATCATATAGCTGCCATACAAATGTTCGATATATTTGTAGAAAAAAAATTATAACTTTGTTGTTTTTCAACATTTTTGCACCATTTTTTAGATATGGCCATTTTTTATTATTTCAGAATTTTGGTAAAAATTTTATGAAAATCGGTCGACTATATGATATAGCTGCCATAGGAACGGTCGAGAAATAAATAGATAAAAAATTATAGTTTCGTTGTTTTTCAACGTATGTTTATCTACTCTGAGATATAAGCTTTTTTTATTATTCTAGAATTATGGTATAAATTTTATAAAAATCGGACAACTATATCATATAGCTGCCATATAAACCGATCGGTAGATGTAGAGAAAATGTAAAACTGGGAATGTAAAACTGTAACTTTCAAACTGTAAACATAATAAGTATAGGTAAAATGTAATGAAACTCTGTTTGGTGAGTGTTTTCAGAATTTAAATCTATAATATAAACATCGAAACCAATCTGCAAGGGTATACAAACTTCGGCGTGCCGAAGTTAGCTTCCTTTCTTGTTTAATGCTATCTTTGCAAATGCAGTATATTTTCGCTTTCTTTTCATTGATGCAGTTGGCATCCTTCTTATACGAATTCAGTCTACTAAGATCCTCTACGTCCATGTCCAACAGTTTATTAGTGCGATTGTTCCACCTTACAGTGGCCTCGAATCGAGGTTTCTTTGGGAATGTAGAGAACTCAATAATGTAGACATGCTCGTCTTTATCAGCTGGCTTTAGGCCCGTTGATAGAATGGTTTTGCGGTCCACTTTGTGAACTTTTTTTAGACTGAAATTGTGACAAAGCCCGGTTAGTTGTTGCTCCTGCAAATGATTATTCATGCGCTCCACAATGGCCAGAGCAATGGTCATTACATGCGGCGACCTACGGATGGTCTCTGTGGGTTGGCAGCAGCACCATTTCTCCTCGATTGCGGCCATTTGGCAGGTGCGGTTCAAAGGCACCTCAAAGAAGAGCGACTGACAGGTGGGGCATTGCTTTGCCCTTAAGTCGTCAGGAAAATCATCCATGGATTTGCTATCTAACTGCAGCAAATGCTGCAGGGTCATGTAGACATCGTAGTTAGAAGTTAAGCGATTGCGGTTCTTATTAAGGTTCTCCACCAGAGCAGGATATTTGAGGCGGAACCATGGCGGTATGTAGATAAACATCATGGGCATGCGCTCCTCAAAATAGCCAGAGGCAGCTCGCCTCAGCAAATTATAACGTTGGCCGTGATCACTCATCAAGATCACAATTGAGCGCTCAAAGAGGTGGGTCTCTTCAACGGATTTGAGGTACTTTAGAAAGAGCTTGTCCAACGCCGTGGCCCCTGTATATTCGTCATGGGTGAAGCTGTTGCTCCACAGGAAACCAAACATCGGCGATCTGCCCAGGAACCGATCGATGAACTGTTTACCAAAGTTCCACACATAACTGGAGCTGAGTTGGCGACCTACACAGTACGATAATCCGTAGCGTTTGGTCACGTTAAAGTTATTTTCGATGGCCACGAGCAGGGGACGCAGGTAATAGTCCGTTGGCTGCTTAACAAAGCCGCCTTTCAGGTAGTTGAACGTATTAATTGATTCACAATCCTCGGCAAAGGCTGTCGTGTAGTTGGCGCTCTTGAATCGCTTCCAGATGAAAGGCAGAGTGTCCAGGCAGCCCGGCTTGCTAGTATCACAAACTTTCTCAGTTCCCTTTTCCGAGTGTCCCGTGAGGACGGCCATCAGATTGGGAAAGGTATTGTCGCCTATTTTGGTGTAACCCTGCATTTCGAACCATCCCGGGCGGCTCACGAACTTGTAAACCGATGGCATTGCCCGCCGAAGATTGATCCGTGAGACTGAGTCTAAACCCAAAATGAGAACACTAGGCTGGCTCCTAACCTTCTCTGTGCTTGGCCACATTTGCTGAATAAACGTCATGGCATCTTCTTGTAGGAGCTCCGTGCTGTTTTTAATGTCCTTGGCATAGCATTTGGTGACCATGAAGTCCGTGTCCCTCGGCACTAGCTGTTGATGCACAATGGGGCGACTCTGCAACGTACTAAATAGTTATTATATTATAGTTTTAATTATCAGTATTAGAATTTCAAACTAAATATTTAGTTTTATTACTTACATATAAGTATCGTCGGGTTCCTTGGCTGTATTATTCCGCAATACCTTCTGGTATACACACTCCAGGGTAGCATTTTTCCTTGTTTCCAGCATGGGTCTGGCAACGTTCTCGTTTATTTGTAAACGATACTGTTGCATTTCGTAATCAAATACGCTTCTGACTATACCTTTGTCTTTGTGGCAAAGTTTTAATTTATCTCTTTGAAATTTTCTCATTAGTTTCCTCGCAAAGGGATCCACATAGGGCATTTTGCATACCGAACTATTCACATAATACTGCTGAACCACACCGTTTCCCAGCCCATTTATGTTGACCCAGAGACAAAGAATTACAAGGAAAATAGTTTGGAGCATCTTACTTGGCCGAACCATGATTGCCACAAACTAAAATATATTCTCTTCTGGCTTAAATAGTCTAGGACAATAATTTAATTTGCTACGCTTAGCTTTAAATTAGTTACGCAGAGCCAATATAATATTTTTTCTTTTATTTTTTATTTATTAGCATGCAAGCTACCATTTTTTTATTTTCAGAGTTGCTTGACAATTTCTCCTCCAAATTCGAATTAAAAATAATACAATGAATAAGATGTGTAACGCGCAAAGTAATATTGTTTGCTAATCATTGTATACTACAAATCTTTGTACATATTTTTAAAAACCGTATTATAATTTCGCATAACTAAACCCTTGTTTGCTCTCTAATCCCATGCAGGGTCAGCGACCAAAGGGTTTACCGCCTGGGCATCCGATCGACATCGGTTTGGGCCGTCGCTGTGTTTTGCTGGATCAACGACAGGATTTTCTGCGAAGCCTGGTCTGCAATTAACTTCCCCTACCTGCACGGCTTCTGGCACATCTTCATATTCATCGCCGCTTATACGGTGCTGGTGTTGTTCGCATACTTTTATGTGGAATCGGAGCTGCCCCAGCGGCAGCCGCTGCTCAAGTACTGGCCCAAGAATGACTTTGAGTTCGGCATACCGTTCATATCGATAAGAAACCCAGGTAAGGCGCTGCGCAACACAATCTAAGGGCGCTGCTACTGGAGCGGATATATAGAGAGAGAGGAGCAGAGCGCATAAACTAAAGACCAAAGCGATAATATCGTAAATGCTTTAAAACTAAAACCAAAAATAACCAACCATTAATTGTAGCGCACAACATTTTTATGTAGTTTGAATGTTTTGTATTAGCAAATAATGTAGCAAATTAACTGGAGTCGCAAATTGTATCTGAAGGAAGAAGTCGGTAGACGTATTTCAAGAATATCTTAGAGCTTTGTTTAGTACTTAGATAGACAATTGTTCAATAGGGCTTGACAAAAATCGATTCTCAGTGCATCGATTTTTTGATCTTTTGTAAAAAAAAATTATTAAATCAACAAAAGTTTTATTTTTATACACTTACAGAATCAATATATACTGAGATACTTTTCACTTTTGAGCTCGCCTTATTTGTAGTGTTTGAATTGATCCAAAACCGAATCTATGATCGACTGCAACCAATCAATCAATGTTGAAATCGATTTTCTTCCCAGCTCTATTGATCAGCTAGCTGTAAAGACATATCTGAAACAAAAAGAATGCCATACCAAAGTGTAGGTTCCGCTTTCCCATGAGTTTAGTCCAAAGTCTTCAACATGTTTTTAAGTGTGTGTATCCGTATACCATCAGACTGTGATATGTTATAAAATAATTTATATCAAGACTTCCACAAAAAAGAAAACAAAACAGTTCCTACACTTTCGTTGACTAACCCTGTGACTCTGTAATCCTTGCTATCCTACTAACTATGGTATTGGGCCTAGAGATATATGTTTAATACACCAAAGGTGGCGCTATCGATGTTTTTTGATATTTTTGGTGGTAGAAACAATACTATCACGATATCTCCATATAAAAAGGCAATGTTATAAGCATTCTTTAAATTTATAAATCTAAATGTGGAAAGTATTACTTTAAAATTCTTTTTAAATTGTTTGACTTTTCTTAAATAATAATACTAGCTCAATTTGAATTTCCTATAATAACAAGTTTAAAAAAGTTTGAAAATAAAACGATCAATTACCTAATACATAATTTCTTCTTATATTATCGTGATCGTGATCTAAATAACATCAATAGTGCCGCCGAAAGCCTAGCCTAGTACTAACAAGTATGATTAAAATAACCCAAACCCACACTAATCACAGTAGCTAGTTGCTCAAAGTATGATACAATTTCAATCCGCTACCTTGCTGATCCCACAGATTCAAAAGATTGGCTCATCTACTGCAGCCTGTATATGCAGGACCACGACTTCAAGCACGGAAAGAACTAGTGACCAGATTCGCTCTCTCTCTGTAATACTGTAAAACTAGACAAATACACCGTGATATAAAGTAGCATATAAGAGGGACGAATGCCTAAATTTTACAATCCCTAGATTCCAAAAGCTTACAACTCAATGCAGAAACCGATCTATTGAAACCCAAATTATATACATAGCTGCCATATAGAAAGTAGTGTTAAGAAATATATAGAAACATATTATAAATGATAGCAAATGTACTGAGCTAATATTATATCTTGTTTTATTATAATAAAGAGTGTAATTTTTATTAAGCACAGGTATTTGTTTACTTCTTTTTATTTTATACCAGCAGCAATATACATATATATACTTTGTAATTCGTATAACTTTTTATTTCCTTAACTAATGTCTTTTTCCTATACGTGTGTGTGTGTTCGCTGAGCATTCATCCAATAAAATTCGTTCATAGTTCATCCTGTTTTCCGCCTGCCTCTATTAATCAGAATCCGACGATATATTGGTGCAGGAATCGCGAGCAATGCGCTTGTTTATGGGATTGTAGATACCATTGAGCGGATAGGGACCGCGATAGCTAATAATATTCTTTGGTGTCTCGTGGATTTTCACCTCGTACAGCAGTTCCGGCTTCTTTAGTTGCAAACGGATGTTGTCCCAAATATAAACGGCCAAATTCTCAGTTGTACTGGGCTATGGAATTAATATGATTAATATTGCTATATGTTTTTTAGTTAGTAGTGCAAATTGAATTTACTGTGTTGGCAAAATATTCGACATCCTTATCGAGATTCTTATGATCCAGGCGCTTCATAATCACTGTCTCAATGGCATCCTTCAGCTCGGTTATGTTCACCACCATTCCTGTTCGCTGATCAATGGGACCGCGAACGGTAATCTCAACTGAAAAACAAAAGTTTATATTTGTAAAAGAATTTGTACTCTGAAGTCAATGAAGAAGTGTTTTATGATTGTGTTCATGGAAGGAAACCTTCTATTGAATCATTTGTTTTTAGAAAGTTGTATAATTTGGGTTAAAAACAATCAATATGTCGTTGTCCTGAACCATGTTTTGGGACAAAATATAAAGCTAGAGCTCCCAATTCCACGGACTTTTCCTACATATGCATGTAAAACGTGGCAACTTGGCTCGAATCCTTCTAATCCAAACTAGATATGATTAATTTTTTGTAATGGGAATAAGGATTAGGCTTAGAAAGCAATTTCAAGGCGGTACTAGTCCTTAACCAGTTTATATATTGCCTTAAGCTGGGTATATATATGCACATACACACATACATATACTTATTATGGCAATTGTATACCCGTGCTTAAAGTTTTTGTGATCACTTTGATCCCTCCCCCTCTCCCTCACTGTTCATTATCAATTCTCGGTTTTTATTACCATTGAGCGTTGAACTTGAACATGGTTTTGATAAGCGAGCTTATCGGCCAAGGTTTTGTTATGGTTAGCCGTTTTAAGTATCAAGTTTCCATGAGCTGTGTGGCTTGGTTATACCTGATGAAGCCTGGTTAAGTCGATATGCATGCCCATTCGCAGTTAATCAAGCGTTTAAATGAATGGTATAGTATGATTTTCTTTAAATACAATCTAGATATTTGAAATGTTCGTTCACCTGTGTAGTTGTGTCCGTGGCCGTGGAAATTGTTGCACTTGCCGAAGACTTCCAAGTTCTCGGCATCGCTCAACTGGGGACTGAGGGGAGAGTCGGGGAATTGATTCCATTAAGTAGTTAAAGCCAATTGAACTGAGTTACTTTTTAAACGGAAATCGAATCAAACAATTGAGCCGATTCTCTTTAATTACCTATGCAGGCGGTGACAGGCGCTGAACGTCTCGCGGCGGGTGAGGAAAGCGACAGGTTGCTGAGACATTCTCTGGTTGTTTTTGATCCGGTTGTGTGTTTATCTTTGCTAAAAAAGGCACCACCAGTTTAATGTTTATCTCCAAAGTGTGACTTGCACGCCGAACACTGTTTTACAGTGAATGCAAAACCTGATTTCGGCTGGCGTGTTTTTATAGCGAGAACGAGGAAATTGTTAGCACAACAAATGGCACTTTCAATAATAACTGCTATCGTTATCGATAACTGCAGACTATCGTAATTTATGTGAACTCTCCACCATCTTTAATCACACAAAATGCATGTGTTTCTATTAGACCAAAACTGCAGGTAGAGTTTTCTTTGAATCCACGGGCTTAACAAATTAAATTCCCTTTTTAATTAAAAATTTTATGAAGGTGGAAACAGCCCTATTTTCAAATTTAGCTCATCTCTAGTTTCTGACGGCGCTGCCAGACCTTTGGAAATCACACATGTGCCTGTCATCGAGCAACCCTATACAGTTATCGGCCAAAGCACATCACTACCAACGAAAATTTATCAACAAACGACGCCGCGCAATAATTCGAACTATTCAAGAAGTTATTTGACATAAAATTGCTACAAAACACCGTGGATTTATTACAAAGATGAACAACAAAAGCACGCCCGTGCGCCAGCGCATCCAACAGTTCCAGACACGTGGGGGCCAGAAGTCCACGCCGTCATCAGACGCCAGTGCATTGCGGAGAAAGGTGCTGACGCGGACGCCCAGGCAAAGCGGCGAGGACCGCCAGGATCAGCAGTTGCTGAACACGGCCTTCAGTGGCACCACCCCGCAGCCACAGCTCAAGCCAAAGTCCACCGCCCTCAATGCATGCTACACTCCGTCATCGCTCTACAGGAATTCCCATACACCCGGTCGAACGAGGACGCCGGGCGGAATGTCCAGCGGCAGTAAGCAAAAGGACAAGGACCTCATGGTCGAGTCCTTCCACAGCGTCTCCGAGGAAAGCAATATGATAGTGGCGGTGCGCGTGCGCCCATTGAACGCCCTGGAGTGCACGCGTGGTCAGGTTACCAACGTGGTTCAGGTGCACGGCGACAGCAATGAGCTGACCGTACAGGCGGGCTGCAGTGCTGACGCCTCGGCGGGTGTAACGCACTTCTTCAGCTACGACCAGGTGTATTACTCGTGCGATCCGGAGCGCAAGAACTACGCCGGTCAGGCGAAGGTCTTTGAAGGCACTGCCAGGCCGCTCATCGATACCGCCTTCGATGGCTACAATGCTTGCCTCTTTGCCTACGGCCAGACGGGATCGGGCAAGTCCTACAGCATGATGGGCATAGAGGCTTTGGACGATGCAGCCCTTGACGGCGGGCCGCCTCATGACGAGGCCGGGATCATACCGCGCTTCTGCCACGAGCTGTTCCGTCGGATAGAAGAGGTCAAGGCGCATCAGCAGCTGCAAGTGGAGGTGGAAGTCAGCTACTTTGAGATCTACAACGAGAAGATCCATGACCTGCTGAGTGTCCAGCATGCCACAACGGCAGCCGGTGACTCCACGCCTGTACAGCAGCAGCGACCGGCTCTGAAGGTGCGAGAGCACCCTATATTTGGACCCTACGTTGTGGATTTAAGCGCCCATTCGGTGGACTCATATTCGGCGCTCCGCAACTGGTTGGCCGTGGGCAACTCACAGCGGGCCACCGCCTCCACGGCCATGAACGACAAGAGCTCCCGCTCGCATTCCATCTTCAACATTGTCCTGAATCTGACTAACTTGAGTAGCGGCGACGAAGGTTTGTCCTCCTCGGACACGGATTCGGGCACTGTCAATTCTTTGCGACAGACACGACGCAGCAAGATCAGTCTAGTGGACCTGGCAGGCAGCGAGCGCATCAGCGTTTCGGGCTCCAACGGTGAACGAATACGCGAAGGAGTCAGCATTAACAAGAGCCTGCTTACCCTGGGAAAAGTAATTGCAGCCTTGGCAGATTCCCGCAAGGCGGTCGGAAATAGTCAAATGGGAAACGGTACACCGACCACGTTTGTTCCATACCGTGAGAGCGTCCTAACCTGGCTTCTGAGGGTGAGATTATTTATTTAATCTTATTTTTCCTTATCAACTGGGTCATTGGGCTGGTTTACTTTCAACTGTCGATAATTGTATCTTACTTTAGCTAAAGAAACTGCCTCGACGGAGCGATTATAGCCAAGATGGTCACTTTCGATTAAAATATCTTTAGTTATAATCCCTTTTTACCGATCATTTGGCGGCTAGACTTTTCTTATCAGTGCTTGGCTCTTAATTGACGTCATAAAAAAGTGTTGAACCCAGTATATTGATTATACAGGTCAAAAGTTTTCTTATACTTTTGATACATATTTGTTTAGTAAATATATTACATTATTTATTATGAACAGCTGGGAAAAATGTATAAAATATTTTATTTTAATTAATTAATCAGCAGAATCAGCTTTTATTTTTGCTTTTGTCGATATATTACCTTTCTATTTTATCTATATAATTTATTGTATTATAAAATCAATTTCACTGCGATATTTTCCAAAGCTCTGCCATCCCTAATGGGCGCTGGCTATCAACACTTTCACTTTGATTAACTGATGGCCCGTGGAATGGGGTCTCCGCACAATCAGTAATTACCCGGAAAGCAATCAGGACAGAGAAGTGCACTGCAAGTGCACACAAAACGATAACCTCTATGGAAACCCCACAAAAGTTTTTGAAAACACAATGTTCCCTGGCTAACATTTACATAATCATGAAGGTTTCCATCGTATTTTGTCTCGTGATGCACCTCTTTGTCTCATGAAAGTCAAATTCTCGTTACTTTGTAGATTATGTTTAGGGTAATCTGTAGGTTTTTATTAAATATTGTGATAATCACTTTAATTAAGGTAAACATATTCATACAGACATGGGAATGAAAAAAAGTTTAAGGAATTATCATTTTATTTTTGTTATCAATACTTTTTTTCATTTGATTTAGTTCTGGGCATTAATTTATAGCTTCGCTTTTGTTTATTTTGAAAAGTATTTATTGTATTTTGATAAAAAAAAATGTAGACCCAGTTTATTTTTATTCTCTTATCTAATTCATAGAAGAGCTTTTTATCTCGGTCTTATAAAGATATCAAAGACCTCTCCGCGCAACAATCAATTGAGTGATTAAAGCTTCTCCTTGGGCTCTTATCATATCTCCTCCAACGTTTGCTTTGCTTTTTGTTTGCTTATACAATTTATGATATAAGGGCACGTGTCCATAGAAATTATATTTAAAACTGTGGCATAAGTAGAATATTATTTTTAAATACAAACTTAAACTGTTTAATTAAAAAGAAATTTAAAGCTAAAATTTTTAATATTTATTCCTTACATATTGTAGGACAACTAATTATGGCAATTGAGGCTTTAGTCTGCACTAAGATTCGACATAAATATTAAATATTTTAGCCAAAAATCAGTTTTTTTTCAAAAAGTGATGTTCAAGAGTGTGTTCCATATTGAGTAGTCAGAAATTGTAAAAAAATGTAAATGTATCTTAATTATCTATAATTAAGTGTTAATTTTTTGTCATACATAAGACATCACATGGAACGTATGGTACTCATGTGTTTCTTTTTACTCATTCAGAGATCGGAATCTACGTATATATATAAAAAATCTGGACCGAAAGGCCATATTTCAAGGATCATCAAATTTTACTAACTGCCCACTGCCTCCTCACAATTTACATATAAGCCAGATAGAAAAAACTCATTTTGTAACTTTGTAATGACATTTTTTTTCTTTAGTTCAATGCTATTCTAAGAAAGCTGTTCCTACTAGTTATATTCTATCTTACTTAAGATGGAACAAATTTTGAAAAACTGAATAAGAAATTCCACAACCAGGAACTACATAATAAACCAGTATCCTTTTCTTTAACCTTCCCCCAAATGACTAAGGACAGTAAATAACTTAACAAAATAAGTGTGAGCCATTGAACAATTAAACAACACGTACAAAAATAACAACGTCGGATTTTGTTTAAACAATGAGGAGATTTCGCACACATTTCCTTGAATTCCACCCCTCAAAATTTAACACCTTGGAAAGAACAATATTCACAATTGAGACATGTATGAGTTCCCTATGTAATACTTGCCAAGATCGAGATAGGGTTCTCCTTATTATTAGTCAATACTTAAGCTTTTAATTCCGCTTTAAAGCGAACCCTTAACTTCTAAAAACAACGTGTTTACATAACGGCTATCTACGTCTAAGAAAAGTGGCGCTTCACTTTCTACGACGTTATTTTTAATCATTCCAAATACTCGATGAGTAATTATAGAAAAAGACTATCATTTGATTGAAGGGATTACAAGGTTCAAGCGTGTGTCTTTTTTCCTGGCAATGCGAAACCAGTTTTAAGTGTTGTTTCTGCCTAAGCACTTTAATTTAAGTTACGGTAGTACGCCCAACTGAATCTCAGTTCTGTATTTATCACTAAATGGTCTTGGCCATTGAGAGTGACAAATATTTGCAGGTATGGCGTCGTAGTACCATCGTAACCAAGTCAATAAGGAATCACGTTTTGATTGAAAAGCCAACATTGTTGGGTAACCATGTAGCTCTAGCTGGCAACCTGGCCTGAGATCATTTTTGTACTAGACTTTTCGTTTTCCATATACTTAGTTCCTTATACCCGACTATCTTTTAAGTACTTTTCCTATCTTTGCATATTATAAACCCCGAGTTCTACATGTGTACATCTTTTTCTCACACCACCGATTTAAAAATACTTTGCTGATAATGTGTCTTGCTGTTTTTTTGTTTTTTATTTATTCTGGTGTACTTGTACTAGAACAATATAACACTTGATACGTTATCGCGCCTCCGAAGTTGCGACACCATCATTTTCAGTTGTCGTCGTTTTTCACATTTACAGGCGGTTGGCTCGCATTTGCAATTGCTTTTGCTTAACTTTTTATCCTTAGTAGCTGCAATAAAAGGTCGTAAATAATATAAATAATTTATAGGTATAAAAAAAATTATTGTAGGGGAACAAAGTTGTTATTTGTTGCCAAATAAACTTGGAACTTTCTGGGCATTAATGTTTATGTTTGGCTTTCCTGTCGAAAAAAGATAAATACCAGATAAACTTATCGTAAAAGAAACTCCTTTACCTACTGTAATATTTTTAAACGAGAAACTTTAGTGCTGTTAGACACAGAATGATGCTGTTAAGCTCAAGCATCTACAGTAGACTTTACTATCTAACTTAAGTAAGCAGTTATTTTCTCGAGACGAAAAAAAAGACTTGACAAGGGTCCGGTTAATCTTACCAACCAAATTTTCTTAGCACGGACTGAGTCTGGGCGCGAAATTTTAACAAAGAGTACCCTCATATTATAAGTTAGCAGGGGTTCTGCTTCTATCGCTCACTAGCTCAAAACCTTTCCAATAATGTAGATATTTAGTTATTCAACTTCACTGAATTAGTTTAAATAAATTTTACCTTGCAGCTTTAATCCAAAAGGAGTTCTCATTTTGCTTAGAAGACGCTTAAGCATTTTATACGTTTTTTTTGTAAAGGATTTTTGAAGAATTTCTTTACTTAATGACCTTTACATGTCTGAATACATTTAAAAACTGAAACAGCTCCGTCACAGCCTAACATTCTAAGTTAATTCTGACCGAAGTTTTTTCCCTTTATCGTGTGCAAAACCCCTACAAAACCGCAATGCAACCAAACAATTTTTTATGACATGCCACAAGAATTTTTTAGATTGTAAGGGAAGTTTGTTTCCAAGAGATAATCCAGAAACATCTACTCAAATGCTAGGGTTCACATTTCACACAATAAACTTATTTGTTGATTTGTCGCGTTCGATACGTGACTCTAATGCGGAAAGCGTGCCTCCAAAGGCTACGTCACTTTATTGTTTTCATAATTAGCAACACTTGGGAGCTGTTGATGTGAGTTTTAAACTAAGCCACGTTGCTAGTGCAATAATTAACTCTAATTAACCAAATTGAGCAATAAGATATGTATTTACACATGCAAATATCGGTGATGGAAAATAAAGTGCCTGTTTTCTGTTGCTAATTGAACAAAACTCGTTAATGCTTATTAGGGGCTTGACTACCGCTTAGTTTACACAATTCATCAACAATTTTATACTTAAATTTTAAGGAAAAAGTTCAGTAATTTTGTACTTTTCCTAAAAAAAAATCCACAAATATATTTAGCTCCCAGAATACATTTTATGACGTTTGCATTATATAATAAGTAGTACGTGTAGCTCGGATTCCAGTTTGCTGCATAACAACAATTGTAATCAGAGCCAGCTTATAATAATATAGTCAGTTCCATTCCCTGAGCAATGTGGTTAACATTGAATTTTAAATGAATGCATTTATGGCTTCCCTTCATGCGCCGATTTTTTTTTCTCCAGCCCAGCTCTCTCCGTATAAACCCATTGCACTTAAATTCGTATAATATAATTCGTATAACGTGCTGGGCAATTCACAGTCTGATCACCACCCAGTCCGGGTCCACAGGGAAAATAAAACCAATTTAAATAAGCAAACACTCTGCTTTGCTGCTGTTCTTGAATTATTATAGCGACAAAAGCTGATCTCATCCTCGCGTGTCTACGTTCGTTGCTCTAATTCAATTCAGTTCAGATGAGGGTATGAGGGGGGCCATAATTTGTGTAAGGTTATGTTCCGACAAACTTTGATTGTTTGATAGAGATTTCAGGAAAATACTTTTTATTATTCAATTCCACAGGGTCAGGTTCCCGGTTGGTTTCACTTGGGTTTCAAGGATTTGTTTGTCGGAACTGTTTTCAATTTTGGGTCACATTTTAAGACTGACCTTAGTCATAAAATATTTTACTTAATTTGATATTTAATCTTATTCAACCTCAAAAGTTTTTGATGTCGCCTACAAATGATTTATTACCTTTAATTAACAAAGTGGTGCGAGACGGAAAGATTTTCAAAAAGATTTGTATTAAAAATTATGACATTTTTTGTAAGATAAACCAGCTGGAGTCAGATACCCGAACTGACCTACTCCAATAAATAAAATATATTAAATTCTTTATATTTTGGTGTTGAGTATATCCTTCTTTCTCCTTTGAAAATATTCTAAACAGTCTTCCCCAAAAAGCGAAACCAATATATTTCAATTTGATTTTCATTTGTGTTTTTATTGTTGTAATATATATTTAATTTAAATTAAACATTAATATATAATATATATGATATATAACATTGTGTAAATTGAAAATTTTCTCGGTACCTGCAAGCAATTTTTTCACAAATCAACACATTTTTGATCAATTACTTATACGACTAAAGCAAATGTTAAATTATTTTCATATTTTCCACAGTTGAGCTCGAATACCAAATAACCTGTTATATTATTATTTTTTATAATTATAAGTTGGGTTAAGAAAATTTAACTTGGCCATAAACTTTCAAAACATTTACAACTTTCACATATATAGTATATATCTAGATTTAGATTTATTTTGACACTTGCTCGGACTGTGACAATGCTCAGTTAGAGTTACAATAAATATATAGGGAAATGTCTAATATAGACAAGGATACAATAAAAATCGGGGTCCAAAGTATACGTAGTTAGACATACATATTGAAAAAATAACAATTGTAAACCTTAATTGGCGTCAATGAAGCATTTTTCTTTCTTTGTTTCTTTTCATTATTTTTCGTAAATATTAAATTCCTGTAACTGATCCAATAAGGTAAAAAAAAACCAAATACGCACATGTAGATTTAAAAGTATCTACTGCAATTTACTCAGTCTCGTACGCAAAAAGAAAATGTTATTTTTGTAGCTTTTTTTCTTTTGCTTCCCTTGTGGTTCGTGTATAAAGGTTTTTCTCTTTTTTTTTTTTTTCTTGGTTCGCCTAGGGTCAAAAAATGCGTTGGTCAAGCGGGCAGGTTTTCGTTGTTTGATTTTCTCATCAAGAGCTGTTGTATGTCTGTAAACAATTTGGTTTCCTGTTAAGCTTTCACACAAAACTTTTTTTTTAAAGCAAATGGAAGATTATATGGGTGTTAACAATACGAGTATAGGGTCTTGTAAATTGGTATCAAGTTCTGGCTCCTGCTTTGTAAATGGTAGTGTATTCGCGATGCGGAAGTACAGTCGCGTTGGATTATTGTAGCTGCACAGCTGCTGTCCTCTATCTTTCTGTCATAGGCAACGCCGCCATCTTTTGTGTCTTACAGCTTTTTCTTTTTATCTTTTAGGTTGTTTTTCTCTTTTTTTTCTGTATTCTTTTTTGTTTTGCTTCTTTTCAGGTTTTTCCTTTCTTCTGGTTAACGTTTATATGGCATTTGCGAATTGCTGTTCTGGTTTTCAGGGCTGTCTGTGCGTTGGCTGTCGTCCCGCTCATACCTTGCAGCTCTGTTGGGCAAGGACGGAGGAGAGCGCTGGGGCGGGCTGCTGCACCACCTCGTGGTTGTGGGTGTGCTCGTGCTCATGCTCATGCATCTCCTCCTCGTCCTCGCAGATGCTGTCATGGTGCTTGCGCTGCTCCCGCTTGCGCATGTAGTTGATGAGCGGCCGCTTCTTGTGCTCCTTGCAGAAGGGACAGTCCTTGCGCATCTGCTTCTCGGACTTTATCTGCTTGCACTTTTCTGTAAGTAAAGCAGAGTGGATATACACCGTTAGTGAGGCTCGAATTGTTTATCTTCCATTCATCTTTTCCCACATTCGCCCTCGCTTCCTCTATTTTGGCCTACGTGCCCGTGAGCCCACTGCCCTTATGGGCCTAGCAGCTGATTTGCCGGCGTCACGTCGCTGGGCCTACGTTCACGACGTCACGTCGACACCCTGCCTCTCTCTCCATTTCCTCTTGCGACCTTACTTGCCGTGGTGACCCTGTGGCACACACACACACAGTCGCAGGTTGCTGCCTCTGTTGATTAAACTATTGCTTTGATTGCTCAATTGACACCGTGTTAAATGCTAAACGGTTCTTATTAATCAAAGCCCAGCCGATCCATGTGAAAACGGTTTATAAATAGCCAATCTGTGTGATAAGCGACCTTGCATAATCTATGTAACCGTATATATAACACACGGAAAAAAAATTTTATAATCTATTCATTAGAAATTTAATCGAGGTATTACACAATTTGACAATTAATTAATAGTTTTGTCGTAACCTGACTCTGGAAAGTTGGATCCAATAGGTTGAAAAGTGTATCGAATTTTCTTTATTTTTCTTCGATTTTATTTCTCTCTGCTGTGATAATGCAAAAGCCCCGTGGGGGTAATTAGTCATATGATATGCGGATGTACCGCCACACAAAAATATATTTACTGTCCGCGTACCTTAGTTCTGTTATTGCGCTTTAATTTTAACCCAGCTCTGATTTTTATTTTTTATTTTGTCTTGGCGCAAAAGAGAGTTACCAACACAGTCTTCGCTTTTTGTTGACCAATTCCAGAGGTACAGTCAGTCGTCATTCTTGGCATGTGTCTGCTTATAGTATGTGTATACTTTATTTATTGGACTTGAATGACCTCCACAACACGGAATCGGTTGCCGAGTTTAACCACCTTTTTGTGCCTCTCTTTACGATTTCCACAGCTTTCAATAAACTCTTTTGTGTACCTTAATTGCGCTTCAAATTTTAAATTCAAATGGAAACCTATTAAGGTGCTCGTTCAGTTTTTGCAACTGACTGTCCATATCGTACCGCACGTGGATTTAAGACACCAGATGGGGCCGAGAAATCGTAAACAAAGACGGAAAGCTGGGCTGATAAGGCGGGAGCCGCCGTGTTAAGAAACAACCAGAGGCACCCTGTGTGTATGCGCAAAAAATTAAGGCGTGTTCCCCACGCTCACACACTCTCGTATTCACAGACGAAAAATCGGGCTGGCTATTTATAAATTTTCGCAAAAACAACAAACAACGCACGCAATTCACAAAGTGAGCGGAGCTCCGAAAGGGGGGCGGGTGCCATCGTACGTGTGAATATGTATTGCACATAGTGTATGTATGTATTTTCTACTCGAAAGCATGTTTTTGCTGCACTTACGACTGCGAGTCCCTGACTGCAAGCTGCCTGCTCCGAGTGACTATCGCTAATCGCTACTTTTTGGGGCCCCGTCAATTACCTTGCACTCGACTGTAGCAATCCTTGACCGCATACGGGGATGTGGTGGTCTCCAGGGTTCCGTATGGGAACTGCTCGTAGTCGCGGTAATAGCCGCTGCGCATCGATCCGCCATATGACATGGTGGAGTCGCTAACACAGAATCCCCAAACATCCATGCTGGTAGCTTTTTTCTCTTCCTTCGCCTTGTGGGGGGGCGCGGTGCAGTTATGGTGGCCTGGCGGACGTGGGTGTGTTGTTCTCTCTCTGTGAACGGCGCGTTGTGCGAGGTCGTTTCACTTTGTCTCTCTGTTCTTTGGCGTGCAATGAACTCTGTTTGAAATCACTTTGTTTTGGGGCCTTGGTCTCAGTTGTTTTTTATTTGACGCGTATTTATGCACTTTTTAGTCAGGTCTGTTGTCTGAATTCCAGTCGTCGAAATTTCACCGAAATTCGAATGTATTCAGTGGGAAGTCTCGTATAAAACTGAAAGCCGAGCGTTAAAATTACTGCATTTTTGTAGCCCTCGTGCTGCTTCGGGTCTTGTTTTGCTGTCGACTTCGGGTCTCGCAGCTCGTGCGTAAAGTTGTTTTTGTCCCCCATATTTACTGCTTCTCCGATGGCTATGTGTGGCTGTGTGAGCACAATGGAGGGCACAAAAGAAGGAGCACTTGAAGGCTAGAACAGTATGACTCGGATCCACTGTTATACCTACCTTTATACCTTAGCAAGTATTTAATTTTCTTTATTCTAAATTTATCGAAGAGCAGTTCTATTTTGTAAATTTTATTGCTATTGTGTTTTATTTTTAAATTGTTATTTTTAGTAATATTTCCGTGTACAGAACTGTAAGAAAAAAGTATGTTTCTTTGTGTAAACATATATATTTAAGTACATATGTGTATACTGCCTTTTGTTGTGTTTTCGCGTCTCGTGCTTTGGTTAGAGCTTCACCTTTCATCCTGCCCTCCTCGTCGAGTGCTTACAGCTCTCTCACATGAGGCACAGTGGGACGCACCGCAGAAATCGTTGCGCTCCATAATCACTCATTTTCCTAATGATTCACCCTGCATTAGTTTTAAAAATGCTTAATAAATGTTAATTGGGTGAGGGCATGGAAACGATACTGGAAGTTTTTCTTATTAGCGAACAATTGCTAACAGCAGAATGCTGACGAAAAACAGATGTCATGGGAGTGATACGATGGATGATGGTTTGGATGGGCTGTTCATCCGGAGGTTTGGATATATCTTTATAAGGATTGCTAATCAAAGTCTAGACTGCAGGCCGAGCACGCGCTGGTTTAGCCTTATTTAAGCTAAGCGAAATTTGGTTGTCAAGCGATCTTTTTTTATTGGGGTTGAGCAGTTAATTCAAACACAGTCTTAACTCAAAAGCTTCGATTGCATGTGGTCCCAGGGAGCCCAAAACTTCACACCAAACGAAATATATTACCGTTTACGTTTTTATTTCAATTTTTTCTGTTTACTAAAGGTTAGTATTTTCAACATACTTGTAAGCCTAGTGTTAATCGGTGGCCTACGTCATTTTAGCCGGTTCTGACGAAGGCTTTTGTATTTTTTCCCCCCTTAAACTACAAACGTACCGACTTTATTAGCAAATTTTTGCGGTTTAAGTTATAGGCTATACACGAACTTCGGGGCATCGTGACAGATTTCCAAAGGTGGGCGGATATAAGGAGGCTATATTTAGCGAATAATTTTTTAAATGGTACGCTTTGGTACCCCAATGACTAACCGCGATTCCCAATATTCATTGATTGAGTTTGCGGTTAATTGTTCCAGTTTTAGTTCAGTCTGTTGGGTGGAACACAATATGAAACACAATATTTCTCCAACACACTTTGTTAGATAACATATTAATACGGCCCACTGTGCCCTCTCAATTAGCTACGCCTACGCCGCTGCTGCTGCGCAGTTTGAGTAAATATCCCCTTGCCGCTCTCACTTCCTCTCTATAGTTCTTTCGGCCCACGGTGCTGACCTGCTTAATCAAACAAGTGTCTTTTACTCATACCGGACTCTGGCAAGTATGTGTACTAAATGCTAAATACATACGTTTATTCCTACAAATGTATGTACATATGTATATGTATTTTGTTGGCACAACAACAATTTCTTCACTATCTTTGTTGCTCTCCTCCTTGCCTTGCAATGCATTTACTGATAGCAGGTTGGGCGATAATAATCTCAAAACACTGAAAAAAAAAACTACAAATGTACATATGTACTTATCTGAATAAAGGCCCACAATTAAAGGTCAAGTTTTATACTCTCTACTAATGAAGTATTAAACACTTTAAAGATTCATTCTTATATATAAAATCTATTAATTTACACAGATATGAATATGCATATGTACATATATGTATGTGTATTTTTAGCTCAGATATTAGCACATTTGGTTTATTTTATTTTCTCTTAGACCAATGGCTTATGTACTATAATTTAAATGGATTTGCTTAACCCTCTAAGCCCCAAGCGAAGAAATATTAAAAAAAACGAAGTTGAATTATATTTTTTGGGGTAAATGGTAGCTTTTAATTTCAGAAATGACCTCAAAAAGTGTGTACTAATTGTAGTTTACCTGTAAATCGAACAGGTGTAAATAAGGTAAATCACTGCTGCAACGCACTATTTCTATAAAATTGCAAATATGCAACTTGATTTGTATTATATAATATCTTACCTTCTAGAACAATAATTTTTATTTGGCTGATTTTGAAGATATTTCACTTTTATTGATAGACAAAAAAACACTAAATGAAGCACACAAAAATTTTTGCGCGCGAATGCATGATGCATGTAAATAACACGAAAAAAGTCCCGTTATAAAGCTTAAGAGAGCTTTGAAACCTTCTACTCATAAGTTCACATGTTTATTGTGAATTGACTAGTGTAATTAAAAAATTTAAAAGGCTCCTCGTTTTTTAGATAATACAAATTATATAATAAGTGCCTTGAGGCACTCTTGGGTCTTAGAGGGTTAAGTATTTGTGCGACGATTCTTTGATAATTTGAGTACAACCTTTTGATAAACATAGTGGTAATTAGGCAATAAAATCGTTATATTTTCATTTCGTTCGCAATGACCTACAGTGGTGCTCATAGACTTAAGCCACAAGACTTCAACCAAGAATTTTAACGAAAATTAAGAAAAGTTTTTATTCCACAGCTCCAATTATTTGTGTCACATTAGTTCTATATGTCAGTGTTCTAATAAAAGAATAACCAAGTTATAAAAATATATATTCAACGAAAAATTAAAAAAATCTGAGACCAACCCCAAAATGTCCTGCTCACATACTTAAGCCACCTGGAAGAAAATGATCCAAAAAGTTAAAATTTGCCCAATATTCCTTATAATTTTAATAAATTTAGTTTAATATTAAGTGGGATGACCTTTCTGATTAAGAACAGCGGAGCAACGCTTTGGCATTAAGCCCACAAGACGTGCGCACTGTTGAGGGGTGATTTTCTTCAACTCTTCCTGCAAAATATGCCAAAATCGTTTTTTTTGCTGTTTTTTTGGCCAACGTCTTGTTTAAGAATACCCCACAAGTTCTCTATAGGGTTCAAGTCGGGGATCTGCGGTAGCCATTGCAAAACATTGATTGTCTCTTGGCTAAGCCACGACTTGACTATCTTGCTGGTGTGTTTCGGGTCGTTGTCCTGTTGAAATATCCAGGCAAGTGGCAAATTATCAGCATATTCTCCAGATAAATTGTTAATAAGGATGTCCCTGTACATTTCGCCGTTCATAATGCCTTCTATCTTCTTTTGGAGACCTACGCCCGATGCGGTGAAACAGCCCCAGACCATAATCGAAGAGCCACCATGTTTAACGGTCTTTCTCGTGTATTTGGGGTCCAATTGTTTGTTGGGAGGACGTTGTACATATGGTTTACCATCACTCCTAAAGACATTAAACTTGGATTCGTCGCTCCAAACAATCAAACATACACGAAAAAGATCGTTAAACATGGTGGCGCTTCGATTATGGTCTGGGGCTGTTTCACCGCATCGGGCGTAGGTCTCCAAAAAGAAGATAGAAGGCATTATGAACGGCGAAATGTACAGGGACATCCTTATTAACAATTTATCTGGAGAATATGCCGATAATTTGCCACTTGCCTGGATATTTCAACAGGACAACGACCCGAAACACACCAGCAAGATAGTCAAGTCGTGGCTTAGCCAAGAGACAATCAATGTTTTGCAATGGCTACCGCAGATCCCCGACTTGAACCCTATAGAGAACTTGTGGGGTATTCTTAAACAAGACGTTGGCCAAAAAAAACAGCAAAAAAAAACGATTTTGGCATATTTTGCAGGAAGAGTTGAAGAAAATCACCCCTCAACAGTGCGCACGTCTTGTGGGCTTAATGCCAAAGCGTTGCTCCGCTGTTCTTAATCAGAAAGGTCATCCCACTTAATATTAAACTAAATTTATTAAAATTATAAGGAATATTGGGCAAATTTTAACTTTTTGGATCATTTTCTTCCAGGTGGCTTAAGTATGTGAGCAGGACATTTTGGGGTTGGTCTCAGATTTTTTTAATTTTTCGTTGAATATATATTTTTATAACTTGGTTATTCTTTTATTAGAACACTGATATATAGAACTAATGTGACACAAATAATTGGAGCTGTGGAATAAAAACTTTTCTTAATTTTCGTTAAAATTCTTGGATGAAGTCTTGTGGCTTAAGTCTATGAGCACCACTGTAAGTGATCCGAACTTTTATTTTTTTATGTACTACTAGAGTATACAATACTATTACTATCAAATAATACTTTCGGAGAGACTTCCAAAGAGTCAATTGCGGGGATCCAACAGTAGTATTGTATGCGAAAATACATACAGTGAGTCACAAAAGTATTCGTTGCAAGGTTCCCGACGAATAATTATGTTATTTTTTTATAATTAAGTATCACATTGATCACTTTAGTTTTTATTTTATGTTACTCAGATATTAAACAATAGGAAAACAACAGAAAGTTGTTAAAAAACTAGCTTCATTGCTGTTTTTTTCTAAGAAATTCATTTGAACTACAAAATTTCATGTCACAAAAGTATTCGTTTTTTTGTTTCGCCATTAAATATTTATTATTTTTTTATTGTGTTATATATTATATGCAATCCTTTGTTTTATTTAATAGCTTATAATCGTCCTTGCATTGGCTCTACCCATTTTGGGCACCTCTTTCAGGATATAACCATTTCTTCCGCATTATATCATTAAGTTCCTTTTTAGGCAGAAATCCGCTGTTCCTGGAATTTTAGCTTAAGATGGTGTCATAGATTTTCAGTAGGGCTAACGTCTGGGCTCTGTGAAGGAGTTTTAGTCTGGTTTAAATAGTACAACACCCACATCTTGACTTTAAAAGTCGTTTGTTCGGCGCTATTGTACTAGTGGAAATTGAACTTGTCGGGTTCTGGACACATTAGGGTGCCACTAGAGAGTAAAATACACCTTAATATATTTAAATATATATCAGCAATTATTATCCTGTCTAAAAAAAAAACATATTTCCAACTCCTGGGGCAGACAGACACCCTAAACTAGAACAGAAACTCTGACGTGCTTTACTGTTGCTGTATAATTTTTTAACTTGAGGGCTTTTCCGGGCTTGCGGCAAACTATCCCTTCTCAATCCGATCCCTAAACATTGAAAACCTTTCTTACTTAATATTACTTGCCCTGAATACTCCAAAATTTGGTTCAAAAACGCTATATCTAAGAAAATAGCTTCGGCATATTAATAGGTGAAAACAAGGATTTTATTTTAGGGCTTCTACCATCCTCATCATGGCTTCCAGGAACTGTTCCAATAGTTTAAGTGGATACATTTGTTCCTTAGGATGTGGTCATGGCGGTGTTAATTTTTGCAGCCTATAAATGTATGCCTTTCCTGATTTTTAAAGAATTGTTCTATCTTCTCTGATTTTCAATTACTATATTCGGCCAAAACGCGGCTTATTTTCCAGGAAATTTATTGATTTCAGTAGAAAAACCACGCTTATTATGGTAAGAGGACTATTATCAAACATACCAGAAATATATTTAAAGGATCAACCCTCATTGTGTAGGTGTAAAGTAATTTTCTTCTGGAAAATGTTTTGACTCCGTACTATTCGCCATTTTGTAATTGATTACGACCCACAATGACGATTAAATATTGTGTTTTTCCATGAATTAAATTTTAAAATGTATTCCCAACCAGAATACTGAAAAAAATTGCACTAACCCATGAAAAAAGGAAAAAAATATAAACAAAATCTCAGAAACGAATACTTTTGTGAGCATAAAAATCGATTTAGTTTTATATATTTGTCTGTAGCTTGTTATTGAAAAGGTTTTCTCTAAGTTTTTTTTTTTGTTATATACTAAACAAAATATACATCTTTGAGATAGTAATCCATTTTTTCACATTTTGAAGCTTTTAGCTAGTGAAAATTGACATTTTCCTCAAGACCTCCTTTGCAACGAATACTTTTGTGATTCACTGTAGATCTTTTTGAGTAACCCCATTAAAATTAATATTTCTTGTCTTTCTTTTAACGATCTTAACACTTGACTCTAATTTATACGTTTTTATCTTTTCTCTTTCAAGGAAAACCTTGGTGGAAACTCAAAAACTGTCATGTTGGCTACCATCTCACCAGCTAGCCTGCACGCGGACGAAACTCTGGCCACTTTGCGTTACGCCTGTAAGGCCCGCTCCATCGTTAATCGGGTAAAGGTGAACGAATCTCCCCATGACAAGATAATACGGGACCTGCGCGCCGAAGTAGATCGTCTGAAGTCGCTCCGGAACGAGTATGAGAGGCAACGGCGTCTGTCCGGGAATAACAACAATAATCCGGTGCCAAGAAAGATCATCATCGAGACTTCGGTTGATGACACTGAGGTGGAGGCGCTTCGACAGCAGCTGGCTGAAAGGGAACGGGAGCTTAGTCGTGCACAGAAATCCTGGATGGAGAAGCTCAAAGAGGCCGAGGATCAGCGTAAGTCGGAGCTGCGACTACTGAAGCGTCGCGGCTTGGCCCTGGAATTGACTGCCGATCAGAAGCAGGCCTGCCTGGTCAATCTCACAGCGGATCCTATTCTAAGCGGCACCTTATTCTACTTACTACCCCAAGGACTAGTGCGCATCGGACGCGGTCGCCTACCCGGTAATTCCAGTACCCAGCCGGATATCGTGCTGGATGGCCCCCTGGTTGCCTTGCAACACTGCAATATAGAACACGATCGATCCGGAAAACTATTTGTCACACCGGGAAGCGAGGACTTTGAGACATATGTTAATGGAGAGCTCTTGCAGAATCGCCGTCAGCTGTTCCATGGCGATCGCTTGGTTATTGGTGGTTCCCATTATTTCCGCATCTCCAATCCCTTTTGCCCACAGAGAGGCAAGACCGAGCAGCCGGTGGACTTCCAGCTGGCCCACCAGGAGATTCTGCAGAAACAAGAGCAACAATTGCGCTCAGAACTTGAAGCTGAAAAGCGAGCGGCCTTAACGCGCATCGAACAGGAGCGTGCCCAACATGCCAGGGACTTTGAGGAGCGGCTGCAGTGCCTCGAACTGGAACAGTTCAAGTACAAATGTAACAGCGAGATATTGGAAACAGAGCGCCAGGCACTGGCTCAGCAGCATCAGCACACCGCGCTCAATGAGGAGCAGGCAGCATCGACTCCGGCGCAGAAATCGACGCTACTGGAGGATATACAACGCATCATGCTGAATCCGTCGGAAGAGAGCCTGCATAAAACCCAGCTAATGGTCAAGGAGGCCACACAACGGTGCCGTCAACTGGGCGTTCAGCTCGAGTTTCGCCAAACCCAAACACCAGATGAGTTTGGACTGTTGCGAACCGTGATCCTGATCCTGGACAAGCAGCGGGGCCTCAAGGCCGAGTGGCCGACGGCCCGTTTGGGCGTGTGGCTTGACATGGTCCGGGACAGTGCGGCGGAGCTGCCGGATAAACAAAATGCTCGCAACATTTTCCAGAGTGTAGAGGTTGATTGGGAACCCCTAGATGCGGATCTCAATGAGACCCTGAGTGAGACGCACAATTCTAGTCGAATAGCTCTAAACCTAAGTGCCATGAAGGATGTCCTGCTTAACAAGCCCCTAAAGAGGCTGCTACTGAACGTGTCGGGAAGCAGCAACCATAGCCCAAGACAGACATCTACGCCATCTGGCAAAACCACGCCCATTAGTCCCTCACCTGGCAGCAAACTGGTGCAGTACACCAAGCGTCTGCTTACCTACGACCCAGAGGAGACGCCCATCGGCCACAGTAGCAACTTCGCCGCCGTCGTCAATCAGGAGCTGCTGATGATACAGCGCTGCTCACAGCGTCTGCATAGGCAATGTGAGAGCGCTCTGCTCGAACGGGAGAATCAACAGGATAGCGGGGTCCTAGCGGTCAGTGTTCAGGAGGCACTGGGCCGACTGGACAGCGTACTCAATGGAATACGCAGCTCACTTGCCCAGGCAGAGGCTGCTGCTGCGGCTGCAGCAGGTGGTGCCATGTCACCGACGAAGGCACAGAAGGCGGTGCGTTTTCTTATCGATTGATGGCGATTAGTTTTCCCACCTTGGACTACATTTCAAGCTGCTGCAATGTGCTTTGTGTTTGTTTTTATGTTTATTTTTATATATATATTCATATATATATATTTTTTGTGTATTGGTTTTTAAAAATAAAATATAAATATTCAGTCTAAGGACGAAAACAAAAAGAAATCCCCGGTTTATGGGTTTTATTTGTGCATTGACCTGATTTATTTAGATGTACATATATATAATATTTAACGTTGCATTTTTATATAAAAGTAACAAAATTTAGCACCTTTTGATAAACTCTTTTATTTGACCAATCAAGAAGCTGAATCCTGCTCCTGCTGGCCGTCTTCCGTTATACCTTTCTCCAACTTTGTGTTGAGCTCCAGCACCCAATCGCACCACTGTCCCTCCTTAAGGTTTACGAAATCGGCTAGGAAGACATTTACCCTGGGCTCCTCTTTGGGCTCGAAGGGACCGGGTACTTGGTCCTCTATCCAGGGCTTAAGCTTCTTATCTACACGCTTGGCCGTGCTCTTCAGGGTGAAGAAGACGCGGAAGGCAATATAACGACCAGTGGGCGTTATGAGGCACTGGGATACGTAACCCTGTTGGGGCTGTCGGGAGAGAAGAGAGTCCTGCAGAAATGATTGCAACTGCTTTACGCTCGACTTATTTGGCCAGGGCGTTGGCCAAGCATAACTGGGCCAAAATCGCAGGGGAAGCGGAATGGGACACCTCCTATAGATGACGATCAATTGACGTTGCAGCTCCAAACACCGGTTCAGAGTGCAATCTTTAAGGGATCCATCTGCGGTGGAATAGAGCCGATGGCCGAAGAAGCTGATAAGATCCTTGTGTAATTGCTGGTGATGGGCCACTGTCAGTGCGTAAAAGTGCTGCAAGTCCAGGATGACGACCTCCTCGGGATGGGAGTCCAGGAAGTGGCGAAGCTCCAGAAGGGGCTCAAACACCTCCATGCAAAACAGGCCGTGGCAGTAGTAAAACTTGTCATCCTTTTGTGCTATCCGCAGGTCAAAGTAACGCACACCAAGCTGCAGTTGCTCCACTATGCCGGAGGATTGCGTCCTGCTCCAGCGGCGCACAAAGCAGGGGAAGAAGCGATGCCATCGCCGGACGGTGCTGTCAGCATCTGGCGCCAGACTGGATTTACTGCTTATGCCGTAGGTCATGGAGTTATGGGAACCTATACTAGATGTGCGCCGTTTTAATTAACTCAATTTTGAGGGGTGATCTCATCCCACAAACCTGGAATGGCCAGATTTATGATGGACATGTCGCGCAACGCCGTTGGCAGATCCCGCATCCAGTGTTCCTTGGACATGGTGTCCCCCCTATTTTTCTCAAACAATGGTATTCTTTAACAGCTTTAAACTGATAATAAAACCGTTTTTGGGGAATGTTTTGTTGTCCGATTTATAGTGTGGCCAGAGCACACCGGCTGAAATATACAATTGAAAAATATATAATCGATATATCGATTTAACCGCTAAAGTTTCAATTTATTATGTAGTTTTTATTATAGGAAAATCTGATTTAATTGCTTTGATATACATATTTGATGCTGCTCTTAGGCCATTGTAGTGTTCTCCTTGTTTTCACCCTCGAGTTCGTCCTCCAGGAGCCACTGCTGCGATCGCTGAGCCAGCAGCTGATCGGATTCGTTAGAAACTCGAATCGTGTTTGCACAGTTATTGAAGCTACAGTCCCCGAGTAGATTGTCCTCGTTGTATCTGAAAGTAACAAGAATTAGGCCCTATATCCTTTAGCACTCGACTTTTATTTAATGCTTACCGCTGCAGTTCTCGGAATTGCTGAAGAGCCACCAACTTTTTAGAGTTTCCCTGACCTTGGGCCAAGCCGTCTGCCAAGATACCAAGCTTGCAACTTTCAAAACTGCACTTGCTGCCCTGCATATTTAGGGACACTGTTTTCTCCATTAGCTCCAGTCCTGTATGACAGTTTTTCACCTGAACATTTCCCAGTTCCGCGCCGGATCGGGGTCGCATCGAAATTCCCACGGCAAACTTCTCGATGATGCAGTTCTTCAGTTCCAAGTTGGCGCCCGGCATGCAGACAATGCCCTCTTGGGTGCTTGAGTTACCATCGCCCAGCAAACGACACCCGCTCATCGTCAAGGTGCCATGGCGCAGGAGGATGCCACGACGAACATGCCGACAATCTAGGACGAGCTGCGAGACAGCGTAGTCTCCGTCAATGACAAGCAGTGTGCTGTCCTCATCACTGGAGCTCACCACAGGCAGCTTGGAGAGGTCCGCTACGGGGGCTAGGATCGCCTCTGGCTTTACTAGCCCGCTGAGGCTGCCATTGTCGTTGAGGTGCTCCATAAACTTAATGGTGTGGTTACCTGGCGAGAGTAAGATATCGTCGTTGCTCTGACAAATGCTCAGCACGCCTTGGAGCGTGTTAGCTAGCTGTACTTGTGCCTGTGGCTTAACCAGCTCCTTGGCCAGCAGCAATAAGTTAAGCTGCTCTTGCAGCTCACCAGGAACAGCGACCACGTGGCTAATGGGAGCGCGTTCAATCAACAGATCTTCCGATGGTCTGGAGGTTCTCCCAGAGCTGCGTTGGAGCAGATGCCGTTTCAAGGAGTTCGACTGCAGCTCACTGTAAGCTCGCCTCATCTCCGGATTCTCCAGAATCTCGAACTCACTTCTGATTATGGCCATGCGCAAGTGCAGGCACATTAGATCTGTCACGGGAAGGGTAGACACGTTGAGACTGTTTCCTCCGGAGCTGCCCGGCTTAGGCTGCTGCCTCCTTGCCGGCTCTGTTCCATTGTCGTTCAGTTCCACAGCTTCGTCGTCGCTCTCCGGCTCGGCATCGCTCAGGTCAAGTTCCAGGTACTCTAGGCGCTGTTGTATGTACTTGGCCTCCGCGAGCAGCGTGCGCATGTGCAGAGCCAGCGGACGGGACAGCTTGTTTTTGCTCAGATCACAAGCAAGCTGGATGCGAGCCTGCAGGTGCATCTGCACCCAGTCGCGGTCATCGTCGTAGTCCTTGTCCCACGGCATCCAAACGTGCGAATAGAAAAATCTCAACCGATCGATGCACTCCGCCGTGGTGTCCACATTTAGGGCGGAGTTCTCTTGCTGAACCGTGGGCCACAGCTCCACCAGGGACACCTCGTTGTTCTCCGGCAGATGGACATCGTTGTCCTGCACGGCGGTCACCACGAACACAGCCTTCAGCTCGTCGAATATCACCTGCTCCACGTAACCGTACACAATGGTGGGATAGCGGAGCTTCAGATCCTCGCAGATAACGCGCGGTATTTTCCAAATTGCCTGCCAGCCTGTTTAGGTGAATGTGTGGGTGAACGTGTGTGTGTGTACACCTTTGTTTGCACGAAGCACCTTACCTGCCGGCTCAATCTTTAGCTCTACGTAGGACTTCCACTCTGATCGAACCTGCGAGGCTGGTATCACGGCTCCTTCCCACGAGAGTACAGCCTCGGCTTCCTTCAGGCGCTCCAGATACGACTTTTCAAAGGTATAAACTTCCATTTTCGCGTTTATGCCAAGCCGATGGGGCCGTTTAGAAATTTTTGAAATGCGTGTAAGAGCAGGGAAGTAAGATCGAAATATATCGATATTTAGAGATGGTAGGGCAGGTTATACAAAATTCACACCGTATTACACAGCCATTTCGATTTCGCTGATGCGGCGTTCATACAAAGATTGATTTGATGCGAAACGAGAAAAAGATTTGATTTATACTTTTAGATATCCAAAAAATTATCTTATAAAAATATGGATAAATATCCATTTTCCGAATTTACATATTTTTGGTCCTCAAGAAGGGTATTATGCTTTTAGATAGTGAAGGACCCATTTCCGACCCTATAAGCCATATATATTACTTATCAGCATTAACAGGCGAGTCTTTCTAAACATGCCGGAGAGAAATACATTTTTTTTTCCATTTTTATCAAAATTTTATAAGGTTAAAATATCAAAAATTTGAAAAAAATGTTATCTTGTAAATAAATAAATCTTGTATCCAGATTTGATAATTTATTAAAAACTATCATAAAAGTGCTTTCCGAATTGAATTTGATTCTTATTTGACTTAGTTGTGGTATTTTCAAGCTTAAATTTTTTCCCAAAAATTATCATATAAAATTATGGATAAATTACTACCCCTTCGGAGGTTTTACAATATTTTTGTATTATAATTTTATACCGTTTTTAATAAATTAATTGGAGTCTGCAAGGCTATACAAACTTTGGCGAGGTGAAGATAGCTTATTTTCTTGTTAGTACAGTGTTTTTAGCCACATATATTTACATATGTTCAATTATCGACAGCACTAGCGTTTCCAACAGCTGTTCAGGTTTTGTTTTTTACGAAGATATAAACAACAATTTCTAAATTTTATTGAAAAAATGGCCTCAAACAACATGGCAGAAGACAATTTTGAAGGCGGCGATGTAAGGAAACTGTTGCCGCCATTCGAAAATACACATTTTTATTCGAAACTCCCCTTTTTAGTTTAACTTTGACGACGATGCGGATGATGACCAATTTGTGGCCACAAATGCGGGAAGAAAGCGTCTCTTCAGCAAGGTAAGTTGAACATTAAATACTTGTACATAAAAACATGCTAATATTATGTATTATTCCCACCCCAGGAGCTGCGGTGCATGATGTTCGGCTTCGGGGACGACAAGAATCCCTACACGGAAACGGTGGACCTTTTGGAAGACCTCGTGATAGAATATATCGCGGAGACAACTCACCGGGCCATGGAGATTGGACGAACAGGTCGCGTGCAAGTGGAGGATATCATATTCCTGGTTCGCAAGGATCCCCGCAAATATGCCAGGGTCAAGGACCTGCTGACCATGAATGAAGAACTGAAAAAGGCGCGAAAGGCCTTCGATGAGATCAAGTATGTGGGTATGTATCTCGTGGCTCAGATATCCAGCAGGAAATAAATAAACGTATATTTTTTGTACAGGCACCGAGGGCAAGCTCAAATGACAGCGCCAGAAGAAAGCGCCATCGATTCAAGCCACCGGCCAATCGTAGTTGTAATGTCCTTAAAATATTTTTCACAAAGTCCTGAAATACAGTAAGCTAATCCGTAATATTAACTAATCAAAGTAGTCTTCAATGTCAATGTCGGGATTGAGTATGTCATCGCCGAATGGTTCCAGGTCGATGCCATTTAGTATGAGGTTCTCACAGGTCTCGGCCAGGTCGGTGTCCCCAATGAGGATGGCGCCGCGCAGCCTTCCATTCTGGAGCACGAACTTGATGTATTCCTTGTTGGGGGTGCATCGCACCAAGATCTCATAGTCCTGTCCCAGATCCTGCCCATTGAAGCGACCCAGTAGGACCACAGGGTAGCCAAAGAGCTGCGTTACATGACCAAAGAGCTCGAAACAAAAGTCCTGGTAGACTGTTTCCTCCTCACTAGCCGCAGCCATGCTCCTGCCCGCCATGGAGCCCATTTGCCGGGCCTGCGTCCACAGGCGCATTTGGAACCAGTGGGGTGCAGGTGACCAGGCGGATGTGCAAACATCGCCCGCTGCGTAGACATCGGGCAGATTGGTTCGCATCATTTCATCCACCGAAATGCCACCGTCTTCGGAGAACTTGATTGCTGCATCGCTGGTGTATTCGTGGCGTGGTTGTACGCCGGTGGCGGACACAATGAAGTCACAGGTCAGCCGCTCCGAGCTTCCATCCTCGTGTCCCAGCATGATGCTCAGACCGCCTCCTGTTCCCGGCTCAAGTTCGTGGTACTCCTGTATGTGTGATTTGTAGTAGATCTTGGGTAGGCTCTTATCTTCGGAAGTTTCCGCCGCACCGCTCAAATCGTAGGTGCGATGCCAATCCGGACCCAAGGCGGCGCCATGCCTATTATCCAGCTCCTTGGGCAGCAGTTCGTCGTAACGCATCCGCTTAATTGCTGTTTTCGGGACAGAGCCCTTATCTTTCACTTCTTTCCTGGCCAGTTGGAAGAACTCAGCGGCTCCGGGATCGACAAATGTGGCCGAGATGTGGCTGTCCTTAACCACCCAATGTACATAAACGTTCTTGAGCTCGTAAGCCAGCTCGCTGGCGATTCCTCCGTTTCCCAGGATCATGACATCCTTGGCTTTCGCCAATCGTCGCTGTAGCTCCAGCACAGAGTCTGTATCCCTAATGCCAATGATGCGGGACTCATCGGGAGCAGAGCTGAACAATTTTGGGGCTCCACCGGTGCAAAGGCATAGGTAGCGATACCGGATCACCACACCCTTCTTGGTGCGAACCCAGTGTCCACTGCTGTCGATGTGCTCCAGCTGGTCGACGAGCGTGCCTACGCTGGCTCCCATTTCGGAGACATTCTGCTCCCGCACGTCAAACTTGTGCAGGTAACGTGCTATCGGCACCAGATTGGTCACGCTCTTCACAATGCTGGACTCGGTGAGCAGGAGGATGGAGGCGGAAGGTTGGCAGATGGCCAAGGATTCGGCACAGCTAACGCCAGCGATGCCACCACCGACGACAAGGAAGACGCACTCCCGCGACATCCTTCTGGTGAAATAAAGTGCCAAACATGGCAAGTGATTCATTCACAGCTGACGTGACAGCTGATTGGAAAAAGCACAGTGAAGCCTGCCTAGAACAACTGTTGCCACAAGCAAGACAGGTAATTAAGCCTTATTAATTCTGGGGATTTTAAAAAAATGTAGCAGGAACATAAATTACAAATTAAAATTAATTATAAAAGAACTTTTGTAAAAATATTTTTCATATTGCTGCTCACAAATGTTTAGTTTTTAACGCTCCCCGTTACAAAAACAATTATTGGGATTCAGAAAAATCACTCCTCGGTTTCCATCTAACAGTAATTTATTTTCGCATTTTTAATAACAAGCAAAGTCATCTACATGTGCACTTAGTTGGTAGTTAAGCCTTCTGCTTTTCGTTCTGGCCGTAGTACTCGTTGTAATCGTACTCCCTGAAAGGCACGTCGTAGGTGAGGAAGCCGGAATCACGGGCCTGCTGGACGGCCACCATTAGGCGGAAGTGAGTTTTCTGGCACAGGCCAGTTTGGGAGTAGCTGAGCACATCGCCGCTGTGGGGAGAGATAAACTGCTCCAGGAGTTCCGTGTTGCGATAGTCCAAGACCAAATACTCGTCTCGGCAAATGGGGCATGGATTTCCAGTGGCAATCCGGCCCTGGCGGATGCATGTCTTGCGAGTTTTCCGTGGGGCAAACATGCCCTTGTGATTCCGCCTGTGAGATTTCGGGTTAATATAGCCACTCCTCTGGTAAACCACTTCACCTACCTATACTGCGTCCACACAAAGTCCTCGCCATAGGTTTGTTTGTAGGCAGCGCTCTTCAAATAGCGCATCGACGTCTCTACGGGAATATTTTTGGTGCGATCCTTCGGGTCAGGTCCAGAGCTAACTTGGTCGCCATCGCCCTCGCCCTCAGTTGCCTCCGAACTCTTTTCGTCCGTCGCCTCCGCCTCCGCCTTACATCGGACCACACTGGCCGTGTGCAGGGCCCCGCGGCTGGAGCGCGTTGCGCTAGCCAGTCCACTGTACAAGACGCGTACAATCGGCAGCATTTTAATTGAATAACAGCAATTTGTTATTAAAATGACTTGGAAGACGACGTAACAAGCTAGCGTGCGGCCGGTAGGAACAGCTGTTCATGGTACAATAAATAAGGTGGTCCTTCGGAAAAATAAGCCCCAGTACGTTTACACTGACTCGAGTTACTTATCGATATCGAATGTATCGAATGCCTTAACTAAAGTTATTGCGTTTGTTTGAACAAATCTGATATATCCATAATATAAAAGCAACATGGAAGTAACTCGGATGCAACTATTTTCACTAGGCAGCGTCCGAGACCCATGTAAAAAACTGATTTATCGGAATAACGCAGTCTAGTGTGAATAGGCTATAACTGAACTGTCAAATTAAGCCCCAAACCTAAACGACGAGACTACCGTATTTATTGTATCATGAAACCAGGGCTACAGGATAATTTGATTACGTTTACACGGATGACAAATTCAAGATATTCGAAATAAAAATATTATTGAGTCCCCTACAAAAAGTTGGAGTGTGGTGTGTTATAATTATCCTATATTAAAAACATTCAATGCATTAGTTAAAGTATAAATGTCCCGAGGTACTTATGTGCTTTTTTTTAATTTTATTTATTTTTTATTAAAATTAGACGTCAAAACTTATATATTTTGTTAAATAAAAATAATACAAAAAATTAACTACTATTTATTTAAGTAAAAAAAATTAACTTTAGTTTTTTTTTAATTCTTGAATTTGTTAGTCAGTATTTATCTAGTTTCTTTCGATCTTCCAGGGATGAAAGATTATGTTTGGAACCGGTTCCGATAGATGCATGTCCCGTTGAGTATTTATCGATACTATCGATACTTGGTGGTTACTTTTCAAAATTTCAAAGTCCACATAAGCATTTGTTTAAATGTCAAATAAATTAATACAAGTTATATTTAATAGAAAAGAAAACAAATTAAGAAAATAGAGGATTAAAGGGTAAAAAGAGCTGTAACTCAGGATCCCCAGGAGGCGACAGTGAGTAAGTTAAGTATCTTAAGCTAACGGTACGAAAACCGCACGGCAAAACACACACAAACATACAGGCAGAAGCACACAACAAACAAACACAACACGCGAAGCCAATGGCGGAGGCGAGTATGAATGAAAAAAGCTGCGCCATACGTTCGGGTCCGTTTTAGTTTAGTTTCTTTCGGAATTTACTAGTGCAAAGTAGCGTTACTGCAGCGGAGTGTCGCGAGTGCCAGTGTGTGTGTGCCAGTGCGCGCGAGTGTGTGTGAGTGCGGTGGGGCCTTAAATCACGTGTATAAAAACACGGCATTTATTTACCTTTGGCGGCGACAAAAAAATCCGTCGGAGCTCGCCCTGACGCCCAGGCTCGCGTTGTAATCCATCTATCCATCCGCGGTACGTGGTAATAGCTTGCGTGCATGCATAAGTTTTTTTTTTCTTTCGTTCTAATCAATATTTGGCAGACTTGGTCATTTAATTTTAATTGTTCGTAAGACAGAAGTGGGTCTAAACAAAAGCCTGGCCTTTCAGACAGGAGCCTTAAGAACCAACAACCATACCCACTTTTGCCGCCTGACGACGACACCTGCGTATAGGTGAGTCAATCCGGTTGACCGTTAGAAGAGCGAGCGAGAGCTTTGCTTGGGTGTTTTCGCTTGCTTTTATAAATAGAGCCGCATTGAAATTTCTTATCAATTGCAAAGAGACCCAACCACAACAATAAACGGGGTCTATAAATACCGCTATGCCAACTACAAACAAATTTTTAAACGAGAGCGCAGGTTGCCCTACGAGCAAAAGCTGATGGTTTTGGCACCCAACAAAAGGGGTGGCGACCGCCCACCCCCCCTGCCGAAGCCTAGAAACCCCGAAACAAAGTTTTCCTTTTGGAGTGTGTGTTTCGCGCTTTTCGTGTAATAAATTGTTTTATTTATTTTCCGTCGGCGCCACTAAGAAATTCATTGTAACGTTGTGCCAAATTAGTACCTGTTGGCTTTTGTGCGGCCCCGTTTTTTATGCCTTTCTCACAAACAAATAATGAGTCAGCTGGGTTGGCTCGAAGTCTCGAGTTCCCTAACATTGCCGAGGCCTATTTAGTTTTGAAATGTTATACTTCTTATGGAAGCTTTTGGGAAACTACGTTTCCATTGTAAACGGATTATATTCCCATATCAAAAAAGCCCTTATCATTTTACGATGCTTTGATGAACTGGGATTAGCTTTCATGATTACTAAGTGTACTAAAATATACTAAGTAAATGAATTTATTTTTGCGCCTTGACGGCATTCATTCTTTAAACCTTAACTTTGGTCTAAAGTTTATTTATATTCCTGGGCATAATCAATCGCCGAATCGATCTGGCCTCATTCGTCTTTCAAAACAATAACTTAGTTGCTTCAACTTTAAATTACCATTTAACTTAACCCCTTAAAATATATGTACATAAATCAGTCATATTTTACAATATAAGAATAATTTTTTTTTAATTTCATATAAAAACGAACGCTTAATAATTCATGTAAATGGAAAACCTTTGTGACCTCATTGCAGCTCTAGCTTAAGGTATTTAACTACTTGTTACAAATTTAGTGGCACTCAAGCAGCCTCTTAGCTGAAATTGGGTTCTGTCATTAACCTGTACTACAGGGTACGTTGGCGCCAAAGAATTTAGTTGTCAAAGTTCTCGCATTAATATAGACCCCACACCGCAAAATAGTAGCATTTTCACCTGGAACTCCACTAGCTGGCATTTATTATTGAAATTTGTATCGGAGCTCTACTGGTGTTCATTCCGTCCGACTGTTGTTTATCCTGCCCGGTGTGCACGCCACACGGAAACGTGGAGGCGCGGAGGCGTTGGGAGCCCAACCGTCAGATTATGGGTTCTGTTTCGTGTCCTTCGAGACTACCACCGTGCTGGGCCCCGGCAACATTAGTGGCTATGCCCACGCGTGCCTGTATGTCAGTCCGTTTTCTTGGCCCATGCCCGTCGCGTCGGTGGTGCTTTATCAATAAATTGTTGCCAGTTTTGATTAATGTGTTTTCACCGAAAACCACCAAATTGTGCCTACCTAATGTCAGATGGTCACACGTCTACACAAAAGCTGGAATAGTTAATTCTGTCTAATATTTCCGAATTCTAATGGTCTCATTAGGGTAATTGCAAATCCATTTTTTATAAATTAGTTATCGAAGGTTTTATATTCTAAGTAAGTTAAATCAATTGGCTATATTAGGGAAATTGTTTACGCTTTATTTCAAACCGTCTGTCTCATTTAGATTTATCATATATTGAGCGGAAAAGTACGAAATTCTTAAAATCTTGGAAAATATTATCAACTTAGTATTGTATCAAAATTGTATGTAACGAAAGATATAGAATTTAACATTAAAAATCGATTTTAAAAACTCGCTTATAATCTCGTAAATTTATTTACTAGTGTCTTTAAAAAAAGTCTTTCAGTTTGCCAAAGCATAACCCACATAGGGGTTGTTTATTTTAAGCTCGATTATGTCCTTCTTATATACGCTTTCCGCCCCCATTTCGTGTTTATCCTCATTTATCACAGAGTAATGCCCCTTCGAATATAAAGAACCGAATAACAAAGAAACAAATAAGCTGCTAAAAATATAATCCTTTGACCGCTCGTTTTTCCAACCTACCCCAAACCGAGATAGCGTTCACAACAATTTAAATACCAATTTGCCTAATTAAGGCACCTCTAGACCGCGCCTCCGCCACTGACAACTCATTCTGAAGAGTTAGTTTCAGCTGAGCTGAGCCTGGGTCCCCGCAGACCTTCTATAAGTCCAAAATATAGCGTGACACGTCGTCTTGTTTAGAGGGTTTGGGGGCGGTGACTCCGGCGGGGGCAGGAAAGTCCGTGCAGTTGGAGGCAATGACATCAACGTCGCAACATGCTGGGGATCCCTGAGCAGAGGTCATTGGTTGGCGCTACGTGTCGGACTGGCCTTCGGTGCTAGTAATTTTCAAAACATTTAAAATAATCATTTAAATATATATTTTTTATAAACGTACAATTCTCCACAGCTGGCTTTAGGCCAGTCCGTTTCCCTATCGCAATCATTAATTATAAAGAGGGTCCTTACCGGGGCAATCCAGATGTCTTTGTTCACAGGCAATCAAACCAATGTCCTGGCATTGAATCCGGCCACTGCATTGGTAATCAGTCAGGAGCTGTCATCAAGACCTTTAAGTTCTTTTTCGTCTGCTCACCTAGTACTTTTTTTGTGACCCACAGACGATGATGATGACCAAAAGCGATAGGGATATTCTGGCTAACTCCATGTATGAGGATGACCCCAATGGGAACTCAGCGCCCGCCACCACCAAAGACCAGGAATCGTCTCGGCCTGAGGCACTTAAGGCAACCACCGAAGTTTCTCCACGCTGGGGACCACAGAATAAGGGTGCCCAAGAATTGGCCTCGTTGTACAGTCCAGGTGAGTAGTATTTCTGTGTCTGGAAAGCAAACTAGCTGGTCTTAGAAGTATTAAGATTTAGAGTAACCTACATGAATAGGTACATTGAAATTTTGACATTAAAGCTATTCACAAAAAACGATTTTTTAATCAAAGTTTTAACGATAAATTTAATGAATATTCTGGTTGATATAAGGAATAAATATAAGGCCACTTTTAAATACTATTGATTAAAGTTAGAACCAAAGAAGAACTTTTACTAAAACCTTTTCAAATTGTTACTCATTTCAACAGGAAAACGAGCCCAGGAACTCATTTGCGTGTACACCTGTATCGGCCTAATGATTATAAACTTGGCTTTGATTGTGAGGCATATGCGCTTGGAGCGAATAAGTGTGGCCTTTATATCAGCCTTGTGTGGGATTATAACAGCTGACTTTGCCTCCGGAATGGTTCACTGGGCAGCCGATACATGGGGTTCGGTGGACTTACCCCTCATTGGAAAGGTTAGTAAACAAACCCGACTAAATTAGCTTATTAATTCAATATAAGTAGAATTTTCTGCGGCCATTTCGAGAGCATCATTTGGATCCTACATCGATAACGCGTCATGATTTTATTGAAACGAATGGGGACAACTTTATGGTTGGCATACCCATCCTTGGCTATCTGGCGCATTATTTCTACATCAGGTCGCCTAGCGAGATACAGCAGCATTTCGGATGGATATCCTATGTATTCCTATGCTCCATATTCGTGGTGATGACCAATCAGGTGAGGCGGAATCTGAGTCCTGAAATGGTACTTTAATAATATTTTCTTTAGATTCACAAATGGTCGCACACTTACTGGGGCCTACCTAGGTGGGTGCTGTTATTGCAGAGCTGTCACATCATCCTGCCCCGGAAACATCATCGCATCCATCATGTGGCGCCGCATGAGACGTACTTTTGCATCACTACCGGATGGCTTAACTGGCCACTTGAACGCATAAGGTTTTCCACCGTTCGCAATAAAGACCTTATAATAATAAGAAGCCTAATTCTTTTATTAAAAGATCTTTCTTGTATGTTTGTAAATTAATTAATTTAAAGAAGATTTTAACAATAACTCGACCTTTATTTTTACAGATTTTGGTCAACATTCGAGCATATCATCGAGCACTGTACGGGTCTTAAGCCCCGTGACGACGATATGAAATGGGCTAAGAAACTCACATAGGTTTGCTGACCAGCGACTGTATATAGAAACCTTGGACCAAGCTGACCAGACCTGATGGAAGCCAGCTTCAAATGTTATCATCCTATTGACATGTTTTGCACAACGAAGTAGCTTTAAATGGTAGCAGAGCTGATTAAAATACTGTAAAGTTACGTTAGAAAATCAAAGTTCTCAGTTGCATGAGCCAGATTTTTGAATTAAAATGTTATAAATAGTTAATTATTTTAGCTTAAGTTGGTGTTTTTATATCCATTATAGCATACAAGCACCACACACGCACATAAGTATATAATATATAATATATTCATTGATCTCGCCCCAGATGATACTACGAGTGAGCCTTATGTATACCTTAAATAACCAAAAGAACAAATAGCAAATCAGTGCTCGATTGCCGTATAACTTTTTTAAACTTTACACAAGAGAAATGTAACTACTCGCAGAGCAACTGATTTTTGTACCAAGTCCTAACAAAAAGACATTTTTAATACATTTCATCATCGCTGCTTTTCGATGGCTACATATAAAATAACACATTTATTTACAAATAAATATATATATATATATATAAAATTTAAATTGGGCGCTGTATGCAATCAGAACGTGACTTACAAATTTTGCCTTAAAACCTTTTTATATGTATATTACAAAACCGATTTCTGAAAAAGCAGTCTTTAGTGCGCACACTTTTACAGGTATAATATCTATATGTATATCGAAAATGTTGTAAAAGAAACAATTTAAAAATTGATGTGTATGTTTGTTATGTGCTAAACATTTTCAGGTATTTCACTAGCTATTTAAGAAATATTTATTAATAACCCAAGTGGCCTTTGAAGAGTGCTAGCTGCTTTTTATCATTTGGCATAACTTCTAAGACAGCAATATGAATTGTGATCCAAAATAAATTTTAAAGCTAATTGAACAAAACTTGTCATTGTATATTTTTTATTGACTGGGATGCCCGATATTCAATGCATTATTAACTAGGCGAACTAGGCTTTATTTCCCAAACTATAAGCCCGATCGACTCAAAGGACAATATTCTAAATATTTTATGGAAGTGGACACAATGTGTGGTTAACCAAAGGTAATTCAATCGAAGACATTATTTATACATTTATATATATATATTTTTAAAATTTAAATTTAAGGCGATAGATTCAGAAACTTTATTTTTATTCAAAGGTAAAGTTGTATATTTTAGTTCTGAGATCTTCGATTTTTTAGTTTTAATACAATTATTTTTCGTTTTATAATTATGGCATTAAAATCTGACCACTAATATATCTTACCTCAATTATACAGTTTTATTTCTAATAATATTTATTAAAGAGGCCCCTTTAAGTGCTTTTCCTACTCGTTAAAAAAAGTCTTTAAATCAATAATATATTAATGCAAAATTCGTATTTAAAGCCTATTTATTTTAATGATTAAGCTCTGAATTTTAACTAAATAGACTGTTATAATTTTCACGCTGTTGCTATTTGTCTGCTGAATTCCATTTAAATGAATAGGTGATAAAGTATTCAGTTTAATAAGTAGATTGCCGTCTTCGTTGCGAGTGTAAAGACCCCAGTAAAAGTTCATCAGAAGTCACCGTTTAAAAGAATGTCCAGAACGGTATGGTTTTGATTTTGTTATTTAGCATTCTCTGGTGGCGGCTCTGCCTCTTCCTCCTCCTCCTCGGGCGGCAAGCCTAGATGCATACGCGACCAACGGGGCATGTTGAAGAGGGCCCAATATGGTATAACCATCATCAGGATCAGTGGTCCGACCCCGAGGATTAGCCGCTGAGCGGGGTTCATAGGAAATCGCGGTGGTCCTGCGAGGGGCATGTAGCTCCGCACTGGAGCTCCTTGGGTTTTGACTATAGCCCTCCGGCTGGATAGCAGATGTCGGCGCAATAGAGTATGAATCATGTTGAATCGCTATATGGGTAAAATAGTAGTTTGGGATATTATAGGAATTAATCCGTTTTTATTTGTCAGAAGTTTTCACTTACCAACGATGTTAACGTCTGTGTGGATCAAAATAAAATAAAAATATATGTATAACTGACAGCTGGCAGTTATAGAAAACTCATAGACTGCTGAAAACTTGACAATTATTGGGTTCAGTTAGGACTAAACGATCAAAATCAAAATGGGAAATGATCAGTACTTAATAATAGCATAAAATAATAAAACTAGAAATATTTGGTAAGTACGCTGACCGGGATATCCAATTAAACTGAGTTAAAACTTAGAAGCCGACCGCTCGCTGCAACAAAATTACGCCATGTATTGGCCCTTTCGTCTGAACTATTAATTCAGTCCAAAGATGAAACATCTTGTATGTTATGGATAGTTGTATCTTTTAGCTTGGATGCGCGGTGGAGTGTACACCATGTACTCGAGCTACGGCTAAGGATTAGATGACCATACTGAAAAATAGGTCTTGGTAACGATCTTGTTATACCAAAAAAAAATCACCCTATAGTCATGAACATACGTTCTTTTGCTTTATGTTGGCCTGGTAAAAAAAAATCTAAGAAGATATGATTTTGGGACACTTTTAAGCTCAATAGTGGCCTAACAAAAAACATATTTAAAAGAATTTTCTAAAACTAAGATCGATTTTTAGTTGAAACATACTAAAAAAGAATGAAAGATAACTTTGGCACTTTGAAGTTTGTATACCTTGGCAGTTTGCGATTGGATCATTGAAATTGAATTGAATTGAAAACTAACAGCATTATACACAGCATATAATTATTTTGTTTTGTAAAAATGTAAACATTTAAATCATATAAAACCACTATATTTTAGGTTTGAAATATTTAATATAAAATAAATTATAAATATATATGCTAAACAAAAACGAAGTAATAATAACCTTTATTAGATTTACATACATATATACACTGATAAAAAAAGCAAGAATTTTGGTTATAAAATCGTGACCATTCCGGTTACGAAAGTAGGCCAAGCATTTTTTTTCTTTCAAGATTTTTGTTCTTAATTAAAGAATTTTGACTGCTAATTCAAGATTCAAAAAAGTCATCATTTAATCTCTAACATTCTTGATTTTATCTCGAGTTTGGTTAAAATTTTTTTTTTAATCCTTACGGGACCGGCCCTAGTTAATATTAAACATTCCTAATATCAAACATTATTAAATTAAACATTGTTGTGAAAGAATCTTTTCAAATCAGTAATTATAGAGCTATAAAGGAATACTTAGTCTTTTTGATAGCAACGACCTATGTTATAACTGATAAGAATGTGCACATTTCTTCAGGCCCGAGGTCTAGTCGTATTCGATATTATAATTTACGTTTTTATTTGTCAGAAGTTTTCACTTACCAACGATGTTAACGTCTGTGTGGATCAAAATAAAATAAAAATATATGTATAACTGACAGCTGGCAGTTATAGAAAACTCATAGACTGCTGAAAACTTGACAATTATTGGGTTCAGTTAGGACTAAACGATCAAAATCAAAATGGGAAATGATCAGTACTTAATAATAGCATAAAATAATAAAACTAGAAATATTTGGTAAGTACGCTGACCGGGATATCCAATTAAACTGAGTTAAAACTTAGAAGCCGACCGCTCGCTGCAACAAAATTACGCCATGTATTGGCCCTTTCGTCTGAACTATTAATTCAGTCCAAAAATGAAACATCTTGTATGTTATGGATAGTTGTATCTTTTAGCTTGGATGCGCGGTGGAGTGTACACCATGTACTCGAGCTACGGCTAAGGATTAGATGACCATACTGAAAAATAGGTCTTGGTAACGATCTTGTTATACCAAAAAAAAATCACCCTATAGTCATGAACATACGTTCTTTTGCTTTATGTTGGCCTGGTAAAAAAAAATCTAAGAAGATATGATTTTGGGACACTTTTAAGCTCAATAGTGGCCTAACAAAAAACATATTTAAAAGAATTTTCTAAAACTAAGATCGATTTTTAGTTGAAACATACTAAAAAAGAATGAAAGATAACTTTGGCACTTTGAAGTTTGGATACTTTGGCAGTTTGCGATTGGATCATTGAAATTGAATTGAATTGAAAACTAACAGCATTATACACAGCATATAATTATTTTGTTTTGTAAAAATGTAAACATTTAAATCATATAAAACCACTATATTTTAGGTTTATATTTAATATAAAATAAATTATAAATATATATGCTAAACAAAAACGAAGTAATAATAACCTTTATTAGATTTACATACATATATACACTGATAAAAAAAGCAAGAATTTTGGTTATAAAATCGTGACCATTCCGGTTACGAAAGTAGGCCAAGCATTTTTTTCTTTCAAGATTTTTGTTCTTAATTAAAGAATTTTGACTGCTAATTCAAGATTCAAAAAAGTCATAATTTAATCTCTAACATTCTTGATTTTATCTCGAGTTTGGTTAAAATTTTTTTTTTTAATCCTTACGGGACCGGCCCTAGTTAATATTAAACATTCCTAATATCAAACATTATTAAATTAAACATTGTTGTGAAAGAATCTTTTCAAATCAGTAATTATAGAGCTATATAGGAATACTTAGTCTTTTTGATAGCAACGACCTATGTTATAACTGATAAGAATGTGCACATTTCTTCAGGCCCGAGGTCTAGTCGTATTCGATATTATAATTTATGTATATTTATATTATAATATCTGTTTTACAATTTTACATTCATTGAAAAAAACTTTTGACTGCAGGCGTATAATAAAAATGAAATGTATTCAATGTAAAATGTTCACGAAATGTTTCCGCAAAGGTTGCAACATTTCAAACTGCTGTGGCCAATAATTGTTAGCAACAACGAATGAAAAATGTTGTTACGTATACGCCGCGTGGCCGCTTGGAACTCTGTTGCTAGCAACTTTTGTTCGAAGCTTGTCAGCAACTTTGCTTACATTTTTGTTGCCGGGGAAGCCCCTTTCGTACGTATTCACCACCCCCACCCCTGCAACGTGTTGATGCCACATGTTCGGTACAAAATTTCACTCAAACTTGGAGGGTAAAAGTTGCGTCAGGACTATAGCAGCATGTTGCTGAGTTGTGGATTCAGAGTTTATCCGAGATTTTATAAATCGAACCATGGCCCCTTTTTGCCAGTCGGAGTCTGTCTATTTTACATTCAAAGCGTCAAGATGTAGCTGTTTATGTAACTACAAAAATGGAATATTGGCAGGGAATATTTTAATTGTAGGTCTTAATTTTTAAAATTCATTGAGTAAATACGTACATATATTCTTTTATGAATTTAAAAATGTTTTATTGTTAAACATAATAATTTCCACAGTCATCATTTAAGGTTTTTTAACCCTTCAAAGTATTTTAATTTAACAGCAATTTTTGCGTATTTTTTCCTCCTTCTAATCTTGCTTTTCTATTTTAGATAATTATTTAGTAAAATTACACTTTCCACGTCTCATGAGAATTTTATGTGAAAGGGTCAGAAGAAGGCCGCGACTTTGACTGACTGATGACTCGTCAAAAATGAGGCAAAAATGTTAATTAGCCATTTGTTTGTTTTGGGTATCCATCCTTCGTAGTCATTAATTAGTTATTCATATTGTTTCACGCTGGTGGAGCAAATTAACTGTCCACTAATATTTTTTTTGACTTAAATGTGATAAAATGTGATAAGGATAAAAAATAAATACTTTTAAATTAATTTAAATATATTCGTACTGATTAATTCATTTAGTAAAAAACTTCTTATTATAAAATACGGTTTAGAAAAGCCAACAGCCTAATAAGCCACTCCACTTTATTTAAAAATTCCATTTCCATTTAAAAATTCGTTTACAAAAAAATTACTTGCTGATATAAGTTTAGTGCACGCAATCTTCAATGTTTGAAATTATGATTTCAGTCTCCTCTCCCGTATCAAGGCACTTTCCATCTCTTCTTCAGCTTGGTTGTCCTGGCGCCACTTATCTGGCGGGTCTGTATGGAAATAAGAAAATGGCAGACAACCATGGAGAACAATTTGGTTATGCCGCGTTCAAGAAAAGTGAAATTAGCATAAAGTCCTTTCTTTCTCCTACACTTTTAGTATCTGCTGCTGTTGCTTCTGAGTCTGCTGGGTTAACTTTTTCCAATGTCCTGCTGTCCTTATGCATTTCGTTTTTAATTTCTTTGGCGTCGCATCCATTTTTGCTTTGTAGTTGTAGCGGTTTCTGAACAATTAAGTGATGGCAACGGATGCTTAACGAATTAACAAAGTTCTCTGTTAATAAAAGTAATGGAAAGGAAGTCTACTTTTATATTATTAAATTCCATTGCAGTAATAAAGGTTGGTAGGACCCAATAAAGCTGAGTTGGGCATAAGATAAAGCGAATAGAGCAACACAAAAATAAATAAATAAAATAAAATACCTAAAAACTACCACTACCTCGCTGTAATTAGCTTATTGATACTGATCAAGAATATATATGATTTATAAGGTCGAAAATTACCCTTCACTGCTTTGCCAGCTTTTGACTAAAAATGTTAATACCCTACAAAACTATAATAAAAGCCATTAATAATTCATTTTTGCCAACTGAACCTTGAAAATAAATCTAGATGGCTTATATTAATACTAATTAACATAAATTTATTTAATTATAATTCAGTTCTTAAATTCATATGGCGCTGGCAAGCTTGGAACTGACAATATCGATGGCTGCTCTCACATATTTTATAAAGTGGACATGCAAAGTGGAAATTCAATGGCCCTCACACACCGATGCAGAGACGCACAATCAAAATTATTGCATGTAATTTATTAATGCCGTGTGTGGCACAATTTGTTTCATGAAGCATGTAAAATGGATTTAACGCCCTCGATAAGGCTTGGCCATGGTCGGAAAGATAAAAGTGGGGTCGGGAGACACAATGCATTTGGGAGGGAATTGCACAGGCGACAGTTGACCGAACATGAACGAGCATTGACTTTGGCCATTTTCCAGCGATTAATGCTCGACACATATGCATCCTGGTTGGCTCAACTATCTGGCAGCATATTGAGCGACTAATTAAAACTGCACATGTCTCTTCTCGGTATTTTAATCTTTAGTTTCTGCCTGACCCTTCCAGCTGTTAGGCAGCAGCCAGCAAAAGGCAAACAAGCTAGCATTTGTGACAACAACCTGAAAAGCCAATTGATGTCAGCCGAAAATGTTGGCCAATAACATGAAAAGGAAATCTTGTCACATTTGGAAATTAGTGTGAAATGCTAATTAAGTTGGAATTCTTGATCAGAGGAAAATCAATTAATTATATAGTTAAATATTCTGATTATTAGGTCAGTAGTCATAGTTTCCATTGTAGAGAGTAGAGTTTCCAGATACTTGAAACTCAATACGTATCTATATAATTCGTATATGATGTATTTCTTCACCATAAATATACATGTTTAAATTCAAGTAGCGTCTTTGCCAAGCATCAATCATCCCTAATTGATCCCATGTACTTCGGCACGCCACTCACGTTCGATGTCAATTAAAGCCTGGATGAATCTATAAATTTTTAATTGAAACACACACAACTGTGTGGACTGCAGAGAAGTCAAATGGATTAATTATTAATTGTTCGTTTCATTCCCTTACTGTATCTAGTGAAAAACTCTTAAACTCCACTGCGGACCCCAAGCTAATATTGGTTCATTTCAGGCATTCGAGGAGGCGAGGAGGTAGCCAGAGCTCAGGGCAATCGCCAAGTTAAATTCTAAACAAATTTAATTGAAAAACTTTTCCATTTCTTCTTTGGCAAATGGTCAGATTTGACCAGGCCCTGAGAGTCCTGGAAAGGATACAAGTGCATATGCAATTGTTGGCTACTTGAAGTTGCCGTTGCAGTTGCAGTTTCAGTTATATTATTATTATTTCTCTTTTTACATTTTGCGTTGATTGTCGCGATTCACTTGGGACCCGTTTAGCATTTAGTTTTGCTTTCTGGAGTCCGCTGCAGCTCCTCCCCCGTGTGGCTGTTTTTTTTTTCTTATTTAATTATTTGCTAGATGTTTTGGCCAAAAGTCACCAAAGAGCTGCGAAAAGTTTTCAGTTGTTGCCGAAATTGAAATTATAACTTTTGACTACTTTCTGTTGCTCTGCGGCTCGCCCCGAACGAAAGCTAGCGAAGTTTCAACTTGGTTTTTCTGGGGGCAGAATAGCTTCGGGGATTGCATCATTGAACTCCGAGAAATTTGTGTTCTAGTTAAAGTGCATATAGTCTTTGAGAAATTGCAAAATAAAGAGTATAAAGTTTTCAAATATATTGGAGAATATTATTTGAAGAACTGGTACTCCAGGCTTTGGGTTTTGGTAGAGCAAAGGGGCTAATATAAAGGTTAAAGGAAAAATATTAAAAAAATATGCTTTTCGGTTTAATTTCTATTTAATGTCCTACTTTAGTATTTTTCTACATTCGACCATTCTGACAGTGAGATACGTCTGATATTCAA